TATATATATATATATATATATATATAATTTTTATTATTATTAATGTTACGGTGTTGTTATTGCCTGATTAACATTACTCGCCTGCATAATTTACAATTATTTTTTAAACTGCAACGACCACCCAAATTCTGTGCTACGCCAAACGATGTCATATGAGGCTTTTACAACGCATAAAAACGTTCATAATGGATATTTATTATACGATCTATCAATAACGATGATAATAATATTATGAATGATAACAATAATGACAAAAGAAAACACCTCCTTCCACTTTCGAAAAAGAAAATACCAGCAGATGTGAAGCCATATCTGCGTAGATAATGCAAAGGCCATCTAAGCATATCGCTACGATTTCTTGCGAAAACGATCTCATTTTCTGTCACTTTTAATGTTCCTGAAATTTGAAGGATTTTTTCTGAAACTATTTTCAATTTTGCGAAAATCCAATTTAGATTCGTGAATGATAATGTATGCAATATGTTGCTTTTGTTAAATTTAGTATGAATTAGCAATGTGAAGAGTGGACAATAGGGCAATGAATGAGTTCAGATGAATTCTGCGTTACGATGATGGAAAGATTTTTGGGTATGAAAATGACAACGTTGAGAACAGAAAAAAACGAGGAACTGAATTTTGTTGTGGACAAACGATGAAGATCATGTTGAGAAAGTGGTGAAATAGGAGACGAAAAAATTTTTATGAAAAAGTGTTGAAAACTGAGAGGAAACCTGGAATGAATTTGTTGCGTTTCTTAACGAAAACACGGAATGACTGTGGATCATCGAATGGAAACGCTGCTGTTTCACCGCTGGCTGATGCAGACGATTGTAACGATTTGAGAAATTCTTTGTGGCCTGTTTGACTGACACAATTGCCCATTTTATCAAGCAGTTCTTTGTACTATATTCACAACTGTTACTGTGATTATAATTTGAATTTCCAAAGTTGCATTAATCTGAATATATACGTATATTGCTATGGTTCCTTTTCAGTTGCAGTTGTTTGTTGTTGTTTACTTGCTAGGTTGTTGCTATGGTGGTGGTGATGATGACGATGGTATGCTGAACTGAAATTTCAGGGAAGTGAAGAAAAAAATTTTACGATGAAAAACGAAATCAAATAATACTAAAAGCAATCATCCATCTCATATGTTGCAATATGAACAACTGCAATTCATTTAATTATCGTAAACATAAAATGTCAAATCAAAATCGGCTAACAGCAATCTCGTCACGCAGTTTCACTTATGATAACACTTTAATGAAACGACCAACCATCGAACGTCAAAAGAGATGATGAAAATGATTTACGCAAGTCTTTTTGGTTCTCATTTTTTGGAGTGGAGGAGAGGGAATAACTTATCACTGTATGTGCTCAAATGGGATGCTGACTAGCGAGTGTTTGACAATTTGCACTGCAAACTGAAGAAATGATGCGATCAGTTTTATGCAGCATGGCGTCAAACGATGTTCCACGTTCAGAGGAAGGCGCGATTTGAAAAGAAATCTGGAACCTGAAAGAATCCACCTAAGACGCAGCCATCTATCTGCGGTAAGAACTGGGACAAAAAAAAATGGAAAACGTTTGACTGAAAATTGAGGAAGTGAATATTTGGCGTTTCTGCGAGGATAAGTGAAGCGAGGATAGTTTTCGTGGATAAAACGAGGACAGTAAAGATTTGTGAATAAACATGCTGAACGAAGAATTATCACTAAATGATTGATTACGATTGATTGATTCAACTAAATGTGGGTTTATAATTGGAAGAAATAAAGAAGTTGTTATTTGTTTGAAGTGATTAATGATGACGGAAGTGAGCAAGAGAAGTGGACTGGTTGACTTTTGTATAGTACGATGCTATAATGCTCTAGGAATAATTTAAAGATATGAAATGTGATTAATTAGTAATAATTAGTTGAATTGGACGAATGATCATCATTAAGATTTATAATGTGAGATAAGGGTAACAGCTATAGTCGGCTACGAACATTCAACGATAAGCATAATAATAAGTCTTATCATATAGAAGCACTGTTGTTGCAGATGACTTGTATGATATGGTATGATTTGGTAGGGTGATATTTCAGCAGTAGTATTGATAGAGTGCAGTTGTTTGGATACTGATAAAATGGGATTAATAAATATTCGACGACGATTTGGATATAATATGACCGAGTGGTCTCGATATTGATGCAGATCAACAGTGTTTATTGAAGAAGCGATTTGATGATAAAACACTGATCACCACTCACCACATCTATCTAACAGCTATTCATCTAGCTGACTTATGGTTTATGCCTTATTGCTTGGCTATACGGGATATGATGGGATAAAGATTATATGATTTGAATCGGTTATTCGCAGTGTTGTTGCGACTGTTGCTATTGATGCTGCTGATGCTATTACTATTGATTGATTGAACTGAGTTGAAGTTGATAGGGCAGCTAGAAAAACAATATATGTTCTTATGTATCTTTCTATTAGCTGCGGCGGCTTTTGGTTATCCTATGGGATCGGACTGTGCGACCAACTTCAGACTGATGATATAGTTGATGAGTTAATGATTGTGAACGGAGGTAATAGCTAACTGCTGTTGTTGTTAACTAGAGAAGATGTTGGGTATTGCTCATCATTTGTTGAAGATGGTGATGAACAGAAGAACATTTGGATGGAGGATAAGTGTGCATTAAGATTAACACTTTATCTGCATCTTCTCTAGCACGGTGAATTTACTCGTTCTTACATTGTATCGGTTATTGATTACAAACGTCATTTTGTCCTATAGGCACTCACAACTGATTTTTAAGTAATTTTTCTTTTTTGACTGCAGTTGACGAAACTTAAGCTTTAAAACAACTGAAAATTTCATCATTTATTAAGAGTCATTTTATACAATAGTACAACAAAAATAATTGCATATCTGAATGTTTAATTCACCGCAGTTTTGAGAATGAAATAATTGCAGACAGAATATGCTGCAGATAGCTTTGAAAAGTGTATGTGTGTGGTAGTGCTGTTTCTGTTCCAGTGAAACTGTTCTATTATTGTTCTGTATCGAAGACTAGAATAGGGCATTTTCAAAAAAGGAACGCGTGGAACAAAGCAGAACAATTTGAAATTTTGAGATGCAGGGATAGAACAGAACAGGATAACCAGCCGAAAAGAAATGTGAAGAACAGAACAGCCTAAAGGGTGGAACAGGAGAGAACAGAACAGGCTCCGGATATTCCTTCAAATGTACTGTGTCAAGCGTTGCAGTGATTACGCATTAACACAACAGAACAGCGTACAAATTTGCAGTGCGGAATTTTTGTTTACTAGGCTCAAAAAAAAGTTTCATGCATTTACATGATTGAATTCGGCAATCAAATGTGACTGATGTATTTGAAATTTTCATATTCATTATCTTTTTTCTAAAGACTAAAACCAAATTTGCTGGAATGATTAGGTGTTTTGGTTGGGGGGCACAATTGTTGTCGATGATATTCAGGTGATGACGAACAAATGGGTGTTTTCTTCATATAAACTTCAACTAGTCTAAGGTTAAATTCTTCTACAATTTTTTTGGATGAGCTTTTCGCCTAAGATTCATTATACCATAATGACATTAGTGCACCACACCACTCAGCTTTTCAGGGGAAAGGTTTTGCTCGAAATTATTAGTCAGGGCTCCGACTCTGAGCTCTCACGGACACCGTTCAGCCTGGCGTCGAGTGGTTGTGTTTAGATTGCAATCAGTTCTTCAGTGCACATAATGCGAAACTGAGCTTGAAACGCTACAATCCAAGCGAATTGATCTGTACGCGAGCACGATGATATTCGTTTGTGGGGAAAAGTTTTGCTCGAATCCGAGTGGTGTACGATGCAACCGAGCCTGAGTCAGGCTAAGATTTGGCATGTATCTCAATTATCTGGTGATAGAGTAATGTGTATTTTGTGCTGCGCTTTATGGCGGTGATTTAAATGCAACTCAGAGATGTGCAAGATATCTATGTACTTGATGTAAGTACGATAGCAATTCGAACGTTCTAGAAATTTCGAGAAATTTCTATTTGAATGCACTCAGTTGCTGAATTCAACAATTTTGATGAAGAGCACCAACAACAACAACAACAACAATTGAACGCAACTCTACCATAGCAGTATGGTGGTGTTCTAGTAGAGCTAAACTTAGCTTGGGAAATTTATTTGAAGGCCATCGACACATTACTTAGAATCTATCCGTTTATCCAAAAGGCGTACATAGTTGTGCATCCACCCATCTTCCGAGTGACGTGTCCGGTAAAGTCTCTTCATTTTGTGCAAGTAAATCTTGATTCGCATCACTTTCAACTTCAACGCCAACATCAATTCACGAAGATGTATAATCCAAGCAAGTATGCTTACTTGCCCATTCCTTACATCCTGTTAAGCAATCAATTATTCCAGCTATCATTGTGCCAAGTTGTTCATGTAACTTACATTTTGCATTATTTTATTTTGATAAGAAATAAATGTTCAAGATTGTAGAGTTCTCATTCGCATAATTCTGATTCAATTTTAAGCTCGGGTTCAGTTATACCATGTTCAGGCTGTAGCGGGAAAACAAGTTCAGAATGTCACGAATAATCTCATTGATCCAGTGCTATTTTCGAATGCATTATTTGAAGTATCACATATTTTTCAGGTGCTGACTTGAAAAATCCATCCATTCGAACATATTTCATCGATCTCTAGTGGCGTCAGAGTTTAAGAGCTTTTTTGAGGGGGGAATTGCCCATGCATTATTGTTATTATTATTATTTTTATTATTATTATTGTTATTATTATTATTGTTATTATTATTATTATTATTCTTAGTAGTAGTATTTATATTATTATTGTTATTATTACTGTTATTATTGTTATCATTATTATCATTATTATTATTATTATTATCATTATTATTATTATTATTATTACTATCATCCGTTTGTTAAGTGAACTGTATCTGGGCGTTGTTCCACTGCATATCTGAGTCAGTAGGGTCTATTGAGTATAAGAACTGGGTCGTTTGACGTATATATGCGTCACATAACGTTGTTTTACATAGAAACGTGCGTCCGCATACGAACAAGTGTATTATATGTACTCTCAAGGCCTCTATCTTTGCCTTTTCCCGTTAAAATTCTCCGTTTTGCGCTAATATTAAACGTTTAATCAATTTTGTATGCATAGAAACTGTCATCGTCTTGAACGGAAATTTAAAAATATTTCCATTAGGAAATTAATTACTTCTCTTGTTTGTATTCTCATTGATTTTACACTAAACTCTACTGCCAGTAATTCTATTTTATAAGTGTAATTGACGCGGATTTATCTATAATTTCGTGAATATTTTACATCATGTTTCAGGTGCTGTTGTCGTCGTTATTTCATTATTGTTGCATTATTTTGGCTTTTATAATGAGATGATAGATATCCTATTGAAATACAGTGGATAACCTGAGGCGTTCGTATTCTAAAGAAGAAAACGCAAGAAGAGCGTTTTCAGATTGAACGAATTTGTTGTTGTTTCATGAATGTTGCGTTAAGTATTTGTATTGCGATGAAGATTACAATGTGGACATGGGTGCACATGCTTTATGGTTTCATTTTGGCAAAGTTAGATTCCTTCGTTGACAAAAGCAATTAATTGCTTGAATTAGTATATAATACTTTCATGGCTTCAGATTAGTATTTAGTGCTTGAATTAGTATACAATACTTCATATTACACAAGTTTTCAAATTATTCACAATTACTTGTGCAAACTGTGTCATCCTGTAAACAATTTTGAATTAAATCAGTCAAAACTTCGTAAAATGAATGTAAAACGGAAGAAGCCATCAAACGGTGGTAGCTTCGATAACAGCAAAATCTCTTTGATCATCACAAAAATTCACCCTACAATTAGTCAAACTACCAGTTGTGAAGGGGCGATGCCATTGATTAAATTTTAACCACTCATTTATGTGGATAAGTGCCATTTGGCGTTAGAATTCCACTGCACACAGCATTATTCATTTTATTGACCAAGTTCATTAATGAGTCACTTCATTTGGGAATGCGAATGTATATATTGTTTAGGAATCACCACGAAGTGTAAGGCACACAGTGTCGTCGAATTGTCATCACATATTAATTTAGTGTTGAAAATAGAATCCGACATAACAGAAGGTTTTCGATTCCTCAAACGTTTTTCATTATAATTCCATTGCCTGAATCGAGGCATACGACACTGATAGCCCATAATAATTTCCTTAGACCATAGCAAAATTAAGAAGCTTCGTTATAAATCCGAGTATTCCAAGTTGCAGTACCGAGAAGCTTATTCATATCCAATAAATTGGATTCATGGACATTGGAAAGCTGTTTTTGATTTTAACTGTATTTTCATTCAAAAGTCATTTTATTTTCGTTGTCTTATCAGTATTCTTATTGTATGAATATGGTGCTGCTGATCGGAGATGGTGTTGTTCGTGAATGAGCGCAATTAGAAAGTGGAAATCAAAAACTGAATGTAAACATTTCAGGAGAAAAATCAACAACAACATCAGTGAATCAACGAAATCATTTAATCAAACTGTCGTTTATATTTCTCCATAAAACAACAACTGATTGCGATCAAGTGGATTCAAATATAAATTAGTGGTAATAATCGATTAGTAATATTAGTATCGTAAACCAACATCCAGTTATTGCTTTCGGTAGTCTCGTCTTTGAAAATATTTATACAGAAGCAGAAGAATGGGAAAAGATTATTATAAAGTGTTGGGCATAGCAAAAGGCGCCGCAGAAGATGATATTCGGAAAGCTTATCGTAAAATGGCTTTGAAGTTTCATCCGGACAAAAATAAAGATCCTGGAGCCGAAGCAAAGTTTAAGGTTGGAATTGTTTCATACGATTGGATAAAACGATTTTAAAGAAACTTATAACACAGAATCGTGAAACTTTGTTGCCTCGAAGACTGTTTACGAAGGAATAGAAAAAACGTAATGATTTTTTGTGGTCATTTGAAAGTTTAAATAGCATATGAATAGATGACAACTTGTTGTGAATGTCAGTATGCCTATGGAATTCCTAACAGGTGAAAAATAGATCGATGTGTAACTAATGTTTGCAGAAAAGAAAATTTTTTTCCACTGAATTATGAAGTAATTTAAGGAAGTGGCAGAAGCGTACGATGTTTTATCGGATCCAAAAAAACGTGAAATCTATGATAAGTTTGGTGAGGACGGCTTGAAAGCCGGTTGTGAAGGTGGACCAGGTGGACCGGGTGGCTATCACTATGAATTCCAGTAATTTGTTTTTATTAATTTCATAGTAAGATTACCATAATCACTGTTATTGCTATTCTTAGTTTTGTTGCTAATACTGTATTAGACGGGTGATGTTATTCTGAATATAGACTATAGCCGTTGTTAGAAATAAGAATAATGGGAATAGTGCTAATAATCAAAATGATAGTGAATGTGTAAACTTGATTCTGCAGGGGTGATCCGTTGCGTATGTTCACACAGTTCTTCGGCAATGATGATCCGTTTGCGTCATTTTTCGGTGGAGGGCCTGGTGGTCCTCAGGTGTTCTTCTCAACCGGAGGTGATGATCTGCATGGATTTGGTGCGTGTCTAACGGACTTATAATTTCTGCCCAATAATCCACTCGTTAATGCTTAATCCAGATTTATTCATCTCACTGGATGAATGACATTCCTTGATTATCTTCACATACACACTCATTACACATACACGTACACTGCCTACCTCTTTCTTTGAAATTCGAACATGCTGAATCAGTTGCATTGCGTGAGAATTTAGGGATACGTACAACTTCTTTGGGGCTCACTAGTTGAAGCTGAAGAGAGACGTTCGTTCTGTCATTTAGCGGCTTACAAAATGCGTCTTTTGGGGTGCATTTTATAAGTTTGCCTTCAACATAAAAAATCTGCAAAATTTATTTTACGTTCGGTTATTCGGATTGTATTTCGCAATGTGTTTTTTTGTGGGAAGATTTTTGAGGCATTCGAAAACGAACTTAAAAATTGGCCAATTAGATCATCTCTTTGGAGGCTTTGAGATTGGGAAGGCGAGCAATGTTCGATATGCCATTGTTGGCAATAAGGAATACCTTCACAAATGTGATTTTGTAAAAGTTCTTTGGAGACGGAGCGCAAATGAAGAAGTTTCAGGGTATTGTAGTAATGATGATGATGATGATGAGAGTAATGACTATATGATGCATTCATCACCGGTATTTTTTATTGACGATTTTTGCGGCCGTAATCGTTGTCGTAATTCTCCTTTTGCTAGAAGACATCATTATCCAGATTTTCGTTATTCTGAATCGACTCCTCGAGAAGTTTTCGTCGAAGATCTTTTCATGGATTTATTCGATGATCCTCAACCGCCATTTTATTCGGCACTTTATCCCCCTCCTCCTCTCCACCCAACAAATCCATTCTATAATCCATTGCTCATCGATCACTCTTCACATCCAACTGGAACTGCAGCCCCAAGAAGTTTGCCTTACTTACTTCAAATTTTCTATGTGGGTGTGTGTTCCTGTGTGTATCAGGCTTTTAGTCAGTCCGGGAGTTGAGTCCTTTTCTTAAATTTCTTTATGCAAAGCTCATTATTGCCTACCGTTCGATAGCTCTACCTACCGTCAGCCTTTCCTCCTCTCTAAATTTATATTTACTTCATCCAAATCTGAATCTCCCGGCTACAAAATGAATGTTTTTGATATGTGTAAAATTGCTACTGCGGCTGCCTCAGTAATACGAAGATGTTTTTTTCACATTATCCAGCCGACCAATCTTTGTTGTGGCAGACCAATATTTGAAAGATAGAAGGGGTGTATGAGAGAGAGGTAATTATGAATGAGTGCATGGGTAATCGTATGAGTCATGCACCAGCCAGAGGAGGAGGGAGCTGGGATATATTACGACGACAGGGTTCAGATCCATCTAGCCTAGTCAATTGTCCTGTTTCGCAGATAATTCCTCCTCTTCTTTAACCATTTCGTTTCAGTTTGTTTGCAGTTTGAAGTGCTGTTGTGCATTCATTTTTGTTCATTTTAGTGGAAGCTAATTGATAACCTTTCTTACGTGCCTCTTCAATAATAATAATTTCAGTTTTATTTCAACTAATACTTCTTTATGCAAATATTCTTTTCATGTGAAGTGCATATTTATGTTTTTTTTTCAAAATTTCTCCCTCATTTCCAAAGTACTCGTTTAATCTTCTTACTTCAAATTTTTCAAAGATTGGTGCTTTTGGGAGTAATTTTTCGTAGCCAATATCATATTTTAGATGACCAATGAAAAAGTTTTTGCTTAAAACGGACAAAATAATAAACGAATTTGACTTTTTGACGATGTTTAGGAAATTGTTTATGTGAATGAATATTATTGTAATTATCGGAACGATTTTTCAGTTTTATCTTTTTGTTTACTACTATTTCTAATAGTTGACAGTTTATTTTGATAACAATAATAATGAAATGACTGAAATATTAATGTTTTGGGAGAATGTTTTGAAAGAAAATGAAAGCAAAAAAGAAATTCAGTTCAAGGAAAATGTTGAAGCATAACTTTAAGGAATGCCGCAGTTTGGTATGGGTGGACAACCGATGCGACGCCAACAGAATCGGCAAGATCCGGCGTTGCAGCATGAGGTGCATGTTTCACTGGAGGATATTTATGAGGGATGTACGAAGAAAATGAAAATTACAAGGTAAAACATCCTTGTATGAAATAGAATAATGTGTATTATTCACTTGGAAAATAGAAAATTTCTGGCATAAAGGAAAATGGGAACTTGAAATTCTGCAGACAGAAAATGAGAAATTCTCGGCAGAAAGAAAAATTGGAAGTTCGCAGCAAAAAAGAAAACGGAAGATTCTCGGTTCAGATATTGCCGTCAAAGGAAAGTTGAAACTGTAAATAAAAAATGAACAAAGAGAATAAAGTTTTGCGCTATCGCTTAGAAAATTTTGCCCACCTCAACGACAACAACAGTAATTAACAATCGAGATTGCTGCCCAGCATTTAATAAATGTGATACTAGGCCATATCGTAAACGTATCTGTGAACATACACTTGAAAATTGAACGTTTTTATTCACAAGTTCAACTTTTTTCTAAGTGAAATTTTTTTTGTTCAGTTAAAAAATTTCGAAATATTCCTCAATTCTTTAATGGCAAGGAAAAGAAACAGCAAATAATTATTGTTTTCTATTGTCTCATTTGCTTGGTGTTATCTCAGAAAGGTTTTAACGGCCGATGGTAAATCGACCCGTCAAGAAGATAAAGTGTTAACGTTGAATATAAAACCGGGTTGGAAAAGTGGCACAAAAATAACGTTTCCACGAGAGGGCAACCAATGTCCCAACCGTGTGCCTGCGGATATTGTTTTTGTTATCCGCGATAAACCGCATCCCAAATTCAAGGTTTGCTTGTTGGTTTGTTTATTCCTCAGCTAGTTCTTTATCAACGCTTATGCCAAATGGAACTACAGCACATAAGTTTGTTTAGGTTGATAGATTTAAGCTTAAAATAAGTCTCAGTGAAAAAATTTCTTCCGCGTTCGATTCTGTGAAACGCACACATTCACAGCTCAATGTTTGATCATTTGCAGAGATCTTATTGTCCATTACCTTGCGATTAGCTTGCGCAGAGATCTTATTGTCCATTATTATATCTAAATACAAACTATTATTTTGTTTCATTTTCTTTTTTTGGGTTGATTTCAGTGCAGTTCGTTTGCAAGAATGCTTTCTGAAACGAAACATGCTTACAAACAACCTGCATTCATTAGAATACTTACAAAGCTCTCACCGGAACACTCATTGTATTCAGCGTGATGGTAGTGATATTCGTTATGTACACCCGATTTCATTACGAGACGCTTTATGTGGTACTTCAATTGAAGTGCCTACGCTCGATCGTAACAGACCCTCTATTTCGATGCAATTGAACGAAGTCACTAAACCAAACACAAAAAAACGGTAGTTTATATTTTAATCAACAATAATTCATCACTTCTCTTTTATCATCAGCCAGTACGTGTCACATCCTGTGCTCATTGGCATTAATATTGCAATTTTTATCAGGAGAATTGCTGATAAATGATATTTCATAGGTTGAGTGGACTGGGTTTGCCGAATCCGAAATATCCAGGAACGCGTGGTGATTTGATAGTGGAATTCGACGTTAGATTTCCGGACAAGATATCACCTGATATGAAAGAAGGACTTCGAAACTTTTTACCTGAATGAATGAGTTTGTTTTAGTGGAAATGAGGCATTGGACAAGAAATAGGGAGTATTTCATAGAATACTTATTGAATGTTGAGAGTGGAAGGACGGTGCCGGACAGTGATACAATGGAAATATAGTTGATGTTGTATATGTTTATTGTATTATTGTTACCATAATTATAGTTTTGATTTAAGTTTTTTGTGTGTGAGTATATATATGTGTGTGCGTGTGTGTTCTGTTTATTTGTTTTTGAATGGTGGATGATCGATTTCTTCGAATGACTAGGAAGATTTATTTTTGATCATTAATTGTACAATAACAATAAGTATTATTATTATTGTTCTGTTATTATATTTATTATTGTTGATATTGTCGTTGACTGAAGGAGGAAAAAGGAGCTGGAAGAGAGGTGTCTAGTAGTAGTTTTTTTCGAGTAAGGCTATAATGAATTGATCCATTCTCAGGGGATTTGATATCTACTGATATGTATGTGTATGGCTTGTTGAATTAATTTTGGCATTGTGGTTTCATTTTATGATTTCAATTTTTTCCATCTTTTGTTTTCCTTTTGCCGGAATTTGAATGTTTTTGTTTTCGTTTTTTGACAGAAGTTTATTTTCTCAACTGTCACGATCAGTTGTGAGTTTCTTTTTTGCATTATTTGTTCCATTAACTCTGCTAAGCTTCTTGTTTTCATTCTTATTCGTTGTTTGCTAGTTGAGGTTGAGTTTAATTTCGGCGGCTATATTCCGGGTGCTTTTATCATTATTTAATGTCGTTTATTATTATTATTGCTTATTATTATTTGATTTTTTGAGAACTTTCTTTTGATCAATTAGTTCGTCGATATTTCGTTTGTTTTATTCCGTTCTCTTAACATCGTTTCATGTTGCTCTCTCAGATAAACTTTTGTCAGCAATGACGACATCATAGTTATCGTAATAATAACGATAATAATAATATTATTATTATTAATAATCTGATTACTGAAATCATTTACAAATATATGCGGATATGTTTTGCGTACATTTAAATGCATGTAGTATGTATCAATGATGATAATAGTGCTATTATTATTACTATTATTACTATTGTTATTATTATTGTTGTTGTTGTTATTGCTGATTTTTATAGTGTTGTATTGATCCACACATAAATACAATTTTCCCATTATGCTTACTATCACTACTATTATTATGAAATGGTTTACGGTACTAATTTGCTAGTTTTGTTAATGAGAGAAAAGAAAAAACTTGATAACAGTCGCATTGATATTCGTTCGTTAATTTTGAGCTGAATTCAGTTGGACTTTCTTTCATCAAAGGTACAATGTGAAGGAATTATAACCTAAGAATGAGGGTGTCGCGAGTAAATTTGACAACCAATACGTTCTTAACGAACCATTTTCAACTATACCAAATAAACGATTAGGTGAAATTATGCTTGTGATTGATAGATTACGCATCTATTCAACGAGTGATCGGTTGATTCGAGTCAAGTTTAAGGGCGAGAAGTTTGGATCAAAACCGAGTGGTACGGAAATGCCATTGAATGCTGTATGAAGTTTGTTTAAAAAATGTACAATTTGATACGAATATCAAACGTGATAGATTCCTTGTAAGCTCAAGCAGAATCTTGAAATTGTTAAGAGTGAATATGAATCAAATGGTATTGTAAAGTGATTATTTTAATGTGTGCAAGCATTTTATCTATTGCTGTTTTCTTGTTTATGAAAGGTCAACCAGTTGTTCGTATTTATGGGTTCGATGTCTTCAAACAACAGTATTTGTTGTATACTTCGATGACTGGTAAAATATTTATGGTACGCATCTGAAAATGTACATCATTTGCTTGTTTGATTGTTGATCATTTATCTGACATGTCGACGTTTCAGTTTTTTCTATTCATCATTTTTTCATTATATGCGCTCAAAATTATGCTTCAAATTGCAGTCGCGGATTCGCTATCTTATTTGCACGTGAAGTAGAAGATTTCACAATTATGTATGTGAGATTGCTGCTGAATAATGATGAAAATGAACAAAATTATTACTGCTGATTCATGCGAATTCATGCGAATATATAATTGTTTAAGATAAGTTAGTGTGTAATTGAAATGGAATAATGACTATTCAAAATGTTTGAAGCTTGTTTGTCTTTGTATGTGAATGTTTATTTGTGAATTAAAGATATTAAACCGACGACTGAGTGTATGAAATAAACAATTCAAATTATTTCATGTTCCTGATGAATATTTATCGTTATTAATCGATAATATACGTGAATATTTGATTAGTTTCATTGCTATCACTATTATTATTGCTGTTGTCAGTTATTTATTTGTGCTTGCCTGTTAATTCGTTTGATAAGGTTATTACGTTCGATTTTGATTCGAAGGAATTGAGTTGTAGTTGCTGATTTATATGGCAGCAGCATATATGCAAAATTAACATTGTTTTTGACGAATCTTCACTTATTTATTCATCATCAACTTCTCAAATGATCACCTTCAGACTCCAGCTGAAGTTGCGAAGCTTTCAATAAGGCATGTATTTTTGCCTCGTTCAATACGAAAATATCCTCCTTCGCCCCACCTGAAATATAAAAATTGAGTGAGAAATACTTATTAAGTACTGCATCACCCCTCCCCCTCTGCAATTCACAAACTTGTGTGAATTCGAAGAAAAACAATTAAAATTCAAGGTGAATGTTCCTGCTATGAACGTCATCATTGTCATTAGCAAATGGAGGAAGGGAAAGAGCCAATCAATCCACGAGAGATAATATGACAAATGATGAACGCATAAAAAGCATGCATCGCACGTACCCCTCGCCCCAACTGTTTTTCATGATCCAATACTTGATACCGTCCTGAACACCGTAACCGACCACTTCGGCTGCATGATTCGCTTGCATCGTTGAGCATTCATATGAATTTAGCATAATACCTCCCTGATAGAATTTATAGTTGTGTGGAATGGCTACATCTGCAAACACAATTTTCTTGATTTCATTACGTAAAAAACGCTTTTCACGGTTATATTGAGAATGTATGAGGAATCGTTTCAGTGTCAGTCATTATTCGGCATCGTCACCATCGATAACTACTCGTTATTTAGATTTCAACTGAGATTTTTTAAAATTTTTTAAAAGGAGACCAGCCAGTCTCAAGCGCGAACCATAACGTAGACCTAACTTCTGTCTGAGGATAGGGTTGAAACCAATGCATCTGCTAATAAGAGCTAGTCAGTTGATACGGCAGATCGGTTAAGCAGATCGAACGGGTTTGATGACGAGAAATTTGAGAATTCACTAACTGAGCGCAACCGGTCCGAAATTGGACGTGAACCACGCGATTGTTTTTGCGTCAGGCGAAACCTCATAAAGCTGTTTGACGAACACGTCACCGACTGGTGGACAGCTGTTTCGACTGTAGAGCATTTTTGGATAGTTTTTCGTGTAAACGAATCCATGCGATAAACCTCGTCTAAATCCACATTAATATCCATCCATTCAGGTGACCCGCAATTCCCATTCTGGAGTATTTGGGCTTTCAGTCAGTCAACGAACGATATGCGGATTATTTGGAATTTCATTTAGCCAACGAACACAACGCCAAGCAATAAACTCTATCATTTGTTTTGTTGAGAAAGAGTGCTATTTCAATTGATTTTGAAAGATTAGTGTGGATGAGTTGTTAAGCTCTGGTAGAGGGAAATATGAGCTAGAAAATGATCGATCGGTTTTATGAAGTATCCTGACGACGAAGGAGATTGGTAAGCGGTGCAAATCGGGAGAAGGAGGATGAATGGATGGATACGGCCACAATAGCATGGAGCAGTAGCGAGAGGAGGTGGGAGGCAGAGAGAAAATAAACATTTGAAAAAATTTTTGAACTGAAGCAAAAAAAACCCCATCGCACGTCTAGTGCTTCCACTTGTGCAACCGCTGTTAGTTGTATCACAATCGAGCATTTCATATTCGGATATATCAATATGTTTACCGTACTTGATCGCATATAATGTTTCCACTACACCGGTCACCGCATAAGCCCAACAAGAATTACATTTGAAAGCTGAAACGTTGAATGTTTTCAGGAAAGCAATTTGAAACAAAAATATATTTCAGTTCGGACGTTTGTTTTAGATTGTTTTCGTCTGAAGCAAAGATGATAAATTAATGGATTGCTTATTGTTGTGGATTCAGTTCAACAAGTGAAACTTGTCTTGATTCAGTTGACGATGTTCTGCTTTGATACCTTGAGATTTGATTCGACCTACGACGTCGTGTTCACGCCAATCCCAACTCTGCGGATAATCTTGATGGTGCCATTTTACATGTTTCCACGGGCCATACGGATAATATTTGGATTTTGAATACAGTCCCCTCTCCGTCCGAGTAAGCTCTTGTTCAACATTCGTGAACTGAATCGCCTTGTTTTTGTTTTTTGTTTTTAAATTATTCTATCCGAAAATTTACTGAAGAATTTCCAAAACCATTCCCCTAGGATAGTGGCTTTTTAACGATTTTCTATGTTTCAAAGGATTTCTTTAAAGATGTCTCTCTTTGTATCTATTTTATGCTGAAAGACTAAATAATTTTGAGTTGCAATTGATGTATAATTCTACCAATCAATTTTGTAAAATAGAAAACCTTCTCACATTTAATCAAACGAGGTGTCAGGTTTAGAAAAATTGACGCGATATAAAATTAGCGCACAGTTGAGGTTTTATTGAGGTTAAATTTGTTGGAAATTTGAATATTGCGTACTTTTTCGTATTCATCATCGCTCCAATCGGCAAACTGAGTTACACCGAAACGAACTGTAGACGAAGTGGAATTGGTAGCAGTTTGTGCTGCTGCATTTAGTTGGGCGATCAATTCCACATTCTTCTTGAAGATGTCGAATCGATATGTATATTCTTTGTTCGTCATATTCGTACGGCGATATCTGAAATATTTCAAGTGCTATTTGCCACTTCTAACGACAGTAAATCCATATTTTCTATTTCATTCTTTACCCTCTCCCATCCCATTTCACACTTTTTCACTTAAATTTCGGCTGATCATCAAATATTTGCATTATTACCTGGATCATCTACGATTTATTGTTATTCTTACTATGTCATGATATTATTGCCATTATTATTATTATTATGATTATTATTATAATTATTATTATAATTGTTATTATTATTATTATTATTATTATTATTATTACTGTGAATAATCAATTTCTTTAAAGTTTTATAGCAGCATTTTTTTCAATATCGCTCTCAATCCTTAAAAATGGAAGAAGAAAGTTTTCTGGGAAAAAGCCATCGCATAGTGCTTGATTCTTCAACTTTGTTGGTTCGGAATGAAACATCAGCGCGAAACAGATGAATATGAAATTCATTGTAGCACTCTGAGAAACAAAAAAATGAAGACATTTTATGAATCAAAACGATATTTTGACCGACTGATCGATTGTACGTGAATGTATTTGTTTGATATGTTTTCATACCTACGAAGGAATACGTCGTAAGAATGTCGCATCTTATCATCGTTGTTGCTGTTTGCTATTGTAGAAGTGTCACCATCATTTAAGTGCACCAGATCCGACGTCGTCGGTGTGATTAAACACTCAAGAAAGATGATGAAAATGGCGACTATCCGCAGCGATAACATCAATTTTTCAGCATTTAAAACGCGGGTAACCATTGTTGTTTTTCAGTTTTGTTGTTCACCTGTAATTGAAATGATCCCTTGAAGGCATCTAGCGTTGAATAGTTTGTTGTACATAAGAAGTACTGGTATTTAAAGTCGTCGAAAGTATTGTTGATGATTAGCAGTTACCAAATAATTTAACCTTGAATGGAATGATGAGGCCGGCTGAATTTTAGATTAAATCGTATTCTGTGTTCGAATTAGGCTTGACCTCAAACTTAAACTCATTTTTGAATTTGCATTTAGAATTGTGTTTAAGTTTTGTTGGGCTTAGAGAGGAAGTGAAAGTTGGTGAATAGGAAGTAATAGCAAGTACTGGATTAAGGAGAAAATTGGTTACGGCAATGGGAATGAATGGCTTAAGTTGACGTTTCGCAAGCGTTTTTATTCACATTCTCGAAAATGTCATCTTTTTGACGATTTGTCATCACAACATTTATTGGAGAAGTTCTGGAATTAATTAACGGCCTTTTAGAATTGACCTTTATCGTTGTTATTATTACTAATCTGTGCATGTTTTTTCATTCTTTTTGTTGTCTTATTCTTGATTGGTGGTGATGTTATTGTTATGATGGTACTAGTGGATGTTGTTTTTTGAGGATGTTCTCGGAACACCGATAATAGTTTTTATCGTGGACAACACTGATAAATCTTTATTGATACTGATATTATTATTATTATTGTCGTCGATATTCTGTGTAATTTATGGTCTCAGTTGACTAAGCTAATTGATCAATCAGAAAGCCCAAAAGGAAATGTCGACATGCGCTAAAATGTCAGTCATCTAGCGATAACATTTGCCAAGACGCCACAATTATTATTTTACTTGAAATGTTACATTTTAAGCATTATTTCTTGATCAATTTTTAATTGTTCATTCATCAATCATTTTCCGTTAAATTTCTGACTTTTTAGTTTTTTATTTGCACTTTTTGAAAATTTTATTCGCTTCATTTCACTTTCGTTTGAATATATCTTTTTCAGTTTTCTTTTCATCATTAACCTTTTAAGCATTCAAATGTTCTTTAATTCGTTCCTCATAGTTTATTTTTCATTCCATGAAAAGAAGAATCAAAGGAGGAGAAATATTTTCAAATAATAACAACGATAGTGACAATAACAATAATAATAATAATAATAATAATAATAATAATAATAAATGATAATAGTAATAATAATAATAATAACAATAATAGTAATAATAATAATAGTAATAATAATAATAGTGATAATAATAACAGTAATAATAATAATAAGAATAAATGATAATAGAATAATAATGATAACAATGGCAGTAATGGTGATAGTAACAATAATATCAATAACAATAAAGTGAAATATTGCAATAGAAACTGTGCATTTAATCGAAATTTTATTTTATTAGTTCATTTTATGAGATTTTCAATCATTATCGTTGTTTTTTGAAGAAGTATCAAACTGAATGCGCCTTCCAGAATGGAGTATTGTTAATGGTATTTTTATTAATTCTCTTCTTAGGATTGTTTGTTTTTATTATTCGATTATTATTATTTCTGTTATTATTATAAGAAGCATTGCAGCAGAGGAATTGATTAGAAATAAGTTTGAAATAAACGTACAAAAAGCAACGATTTGTAAAGGGGAAGTTTCGCGATCATAACTGACAGCTAATAGAACAATTAAACAGTGCGAGTCAAATTAAATCAATCAATTAAAGTAATCTCTCTCTCCAGATAATGGTCCATCATTGACTCGGTTTGATTCGAATCGGTTTCATCTCGGTGTAAAGAGAAAATAAAAAATTGAACAACTTTTTTTGCATACCCATTTCGCGTGGAAAATCGAGCTTTGATGTAATATTTTAATTGCATTATATTACTTGATATGTAACGTGTTGTCGGGTAACGTTCAAATCGGTGTGTGTGTGTGTTTGTTTAATGTTTTAATTTGAATGGTTGTGTCGCGACTGTTGAGTTGTGAAGAAGGTTTTGGATATTTTAAAACGATAATATCAAAATAAATTAATAATAATATTGTTGACAGCGGATTGTTTACGCAGTTAGCCATTAGATTTGATATGGCGTGTTATCCCACTAAGAATCATTGAGAGAATACTTCGAGGGTTAGTTTGATGAGATATAATGATTGAGAAGGTTTAGTTAAAAAGAAATGCGGTAAATGGGCAGAAGGAAAGATAGAATGGTAATGTGATCATTCGGTTGTACCAACACGTTGATCGTGCGTGGCTTATGATAAGACTGAGGAAGATTTTTATTTGAGCTCTATAAAAACCAATGCGACAAAGTTGCTTGTTTTTCTCATTCGTTTCTTGACAAGGAAACGTTCGAAGAGCGGAACATGGTAAAGCACAAACCATTCAAAAATCATAAGCAAAGTGATAGTTAGTGCAGCTTTGTGGAAATGATCTCTTGTGAGTTATTCGTACTTCTGCGTTTGATATCGTTTATGTAATGAAATATCCGACGTTTATGATATCGTTGTTTTGATATTACTGTTTGTTTTGAGCGAGCGATTTTGTCGATGTGTTCCGAATTGCATGATTTTATGCTTCAGCTACTGCGTGATCAACAATTTTTTGATATATCATTTTTCCAACTGTTTCAAAGCAAATGTATGGAGATACCTCCGTGAAAAATGTTCAAACATGAGCTGGAACAGTGTGGAATACTGTTGTTGGATGGATGAATGAGTTGAAGATGAGCAGTGGAATCTCAGGATTTCACGTGTGATGTTGAGACTAAGCTAAACATAGGAAGGTAATGTTGTAGTTCAGGTTGGTAAAATCAAAACAGCGTTTCGTTCGTTCACATTCACAGTTGATAAGCCTAAGCCCAAGCCTAAGCCTAGGCTTAAGCCTAAGCCTAACTACACCACACACTTAACTGCAAATGTGAACGAACGAAATGCTGTTTTGATTTCACCAACCTGAACTACAACATTACCCATAAGAACTCGAACCCTAAAGTTAGTCTAACAATAAGATTAAATGTGAGATTGAAATCATAAACCACCTCCATGTTTTCAGCCGCCCACAGACATACATTTGCGCATGAAATAGCGATAGATGATCGCGTCTTTTTATTTGCAATCCGATAATGGCGATGTGTATATTCATCGATGTGTGATGTTTTTGGATTTGATTGTTAAGAAGGTGAATTGTGTGATCGTATAATAACAGTCAATCAGACGTTTTCAATGCTTTTGCAATGAATGATACAAGTACATGTTAATTTGTAGTTGTTTATGTAGATGTTCTTTCATTATAAGATCATTTTATAAACCTGATATTTCAATCATTTGTTGATTAGAAAAAAACAAGTTTAGGTTTTATTCGTTCATTTAATATCGTTGTAAGATCATTGCAATCCTAACAATCTTATCCTCTGCTTGTCCATCGTCACTATTTATCATTATCATTTTCATAATAATGATAATAATAATAATAATGATAATGATAATAGTAATAATGATAATAATTTTAACAACAATAATGGTAACGATAAAAATGTTAACATAAATAATTTTTTGATTGATCTAAGTTGAATTTAATTGCGTAATTCATTAAGTGCAATCGTTTTTATGCAATGGAACCAATTTATTCGCTAGCATTTTATTTTATTTATTGTAAAAATTTAGTTATTTTGACTGTTGTTACGATAGATACGTGTGCACCTTTGCATTATTTTCTTCATTCGCAATGCTCAATACAAAATTTCTTCATTCTTAATGCTCAGAATGTTTCATTGAAATTCAATGAACTTTGGAAAGTTCAATCAGGTCATATATTTAAGTCGAAGTTTGAGCCTCTCGTAGACTCAGACTCGTTCAGTTGAGCCGTCCACGTCGTCAGTTCATTGAGCAACTGTGCATGTATTCATTAGTCCATACATGCATGGTGGGACTCCCTAATGAGGCGTGGGAGGGTAGTTGGACGAAAGGGGCAATCCACTTTCTCGATTCTTGTTCGGTTGTTTAAGTTCTTACTGAATAGTTGCTTGTGGTCATCGTATACTGGTGTGGGATGAGGGGAGGGGAAGGGTGCGTGCATGAATCGCCGTCAACAAAAAGCATTTATTTTCAGTGTTGAAAAGTCGGATTCGTTTATGAAAAGAGGAAGGGATGAGTTCAACAGCAAACTCGAGTATGTGGACAGCGGTTTCATATCTGATTATGGAGCGAGTCGATGATCTGCTCTACGCTGAATTGTTGATGTTCTCGTTTATGTTTTCGGTGGTTATGCGAATGGTTGGTTATATGAACTGATTGGAGGCATGGACGGAAAGAGTGTTGCTGTTCCACTGAACATTTTTACGGAGAATCTTTGAAGCGTTGATTAGTTGATTCCATATTTTCGGAACTTTTTTAAATTAGAATTAGTCTCATGATTAAGGCACCTGCTAAGTAAGGGATTTGAGTCACTCTTTGTGAACTACCTAAATTTTCATTCGTTAACTCATAACAACAACGTGAATCGTAATTTGTCGAAGGTAACCAATTCACTTCGAGATCGGCTTCAAGCATAAAATAATAATTTCAATTGTGCATATAAAAGAATAACTTTCCGCGAAAGCAACTCATTACATTCTCGCAGATTTCCAATGGGACAATACGTGAAATTTGTGGTGCACTGATTGGTATTCTAATGGTTTATTGGTTTGTTGGCTCGAAGCTTTTGTATTCATTAATTATTGTTTGTGCAAATATGGTACTTTTTACATATGTTAAAAACAGGTACGTATTCTTATTAGTGCTGTTACTGTTATTGTCATTGCTAGTGTTGTTGTTATAATATTTGCATCTGTTTGATAATAAGAACGAATTTATTTGCATTCACTGATCTGTTCTTCAGATATTTACCGCTCTATTCATTTCTACTGACGTTCACATATCTCGGTTTATTACGTCTTATACATTTGTTCGGGTTTCCGCCGCTGATCTCGCACGCTAATGCTGTACAATTGTTTATGACATTACGAGTGAGTAAAATACATTACTATTATTACCAATGCGTTGTTGAAATTGTTTCAACATTCCGTATGCATGTGCGTAATGTACAAGTTTATAAGTTTGCTTAAGTTAGTTGGACTAAGTTTCGAAATCGAGGATGCGAGACGAAAGAATACGATAAAATGTGATCCGAAACGTGTTCGTTTCATAGTTGAACCAAACCCATGGCACACTTTCTTATATGCCTACAATTTTGCTGGATTATTTACAGGTTTCATTTTTATTTAACAAGTCTGGGTGGTTTTTTAGTGCTAGAAAATAGTTTTTCTTCCAATACTTCTCTAATCATTTCATTTTTCCATTGCTTTTCGGCTTGTTCTGATCATCAAACAGTCATCTATCGTTTTCTAGTACTTTCTTGCCTTCATTTTTTTAAATGTCAAGTTCAAAATTTTTTTTAATCGCAAAATTATCGGAGAATTTCTGACGAAATCAAGAATTTCTTTTCGGAACTTTGAACTTTTAGTTGTTTGTCGCTATGAAGAATTGATTTAATTTAATTTGCACATTGGTGTTTTATTGAAATTGTTCAGGTCCATATTATACGTACGCAATGCATCGTGACACGGTGGATAATGACGATATAATGGATATTTCGGTTTGGAGTGAAATCTTTTGGCGTCTATGGAATTTAGCATGGTCATTGCCTGCGTTCATCATTCTCGTCTACGCATTCCCACTTCAGGTCCACTTTATTTACCACTACTGTATGACGTCTGAAATTGTTTCTTTTTTCACTCCTTGCCCTATTTTCATGGTCAGGGAACAAGATCTCCAACAGGGAGAAATTCTCTGACAATTTACTCTTCCAATTTTTTGGTCAGGATCCCCACCTCTAAACGAATGCCTCCCTGCGGAGACCCCCACTCCTTTCTTGATTAAGTTCCTCCCCAGCTTTTTTATCGAGGTCCTTTCCTTGACCAGTTTGCCTCTTAACAGGGTTCCTCCCCCTCAAAAAGTTGCTCACCGACGAACACTAGTCTTGATCGACGGTTTTGATAGTTTATTTGTTGATTTTGAAATTGTAGACGATGCGCAGTGATGAGTTCTACGATGAGACAATATATTATCGGATTTGGGTGAGTGGTTTAGTGTTCTTTTGGATGCGTTGTCGAGTGTATAGTGCTTGGATGGTGGCCGAATCGATTTGTGTTCTAAACGGGATCGGAGTATATCCAGAAAATTGTTGTGCGCGTGCTGGTCAAGGACCCACTAAACTCGATTCTTTTAAGTAACTTTCTTATTATCATTATTATTATTATTATTATTATTATTATTATTATTATTATTATTATTATTATTATTATTATTATTATTATTATTATTATTATTATTATTATTCCATGTTACTTGTTATTACTGTTATCAGTTATTAATGTTGCATGGTTGAGAATTATTGTTGTAGAGAAGAAATGAATGCCCCCGGTACGGTGTACAACTCAGAAGCTGTGCGCAACTTGGACATTTGGTCAGTTGAATTTGCGCCATCTTTTCGTGCTGGAATGCGTGCATGGAATCGTTCTGTACAATATTGGCTTGCCACTTACGTTTATAAGCGCGTATCGCGCGATTTTGGGTGAATTTTGTGATTGCTTTTTATTATTGTTATTGTCATTATCATCTTTACATTATTAACATATATATCGTCTTTACAGAGTATTTTTAACGATGTTGGTAAGTGCATATTGGCACGGTGTTCATCCGGGTTATTATCTGTCGTTCTTAACCGTACCATTGTGCACGTTTGCTGAGGATCAGATTGTTTCAATTATGCCACACGACAAAAATGGCAATTTACCATTAACCTTCACAATATTGTACGCTCATCTTTTACTATATTTTATCATTATTGTTATTATTAACTTACCATTACCATCAGTTAGGATCTAAAATACCACGATTTCACACACTTTTCATTTCCTGTTGATGGTTTAGTTGGTATGTGATTCGTCAACTCGGTTTCACGCTTATGGCATCTGGGTTTTTGTTGCTCACCTGGCGAGACACGATCAGATATTGGAATTCTGTGCATTATCATGTGCATTGGATCATGGTTACAGTGATCGTTTTTGCATGGCTTTACAAGACACTTCTTTATGCAGGTATTATGTTTGTTACGGAGAAGCTTGCATCGATTTTCCACTTTCAAACTTTAAAATTCTTCGATTATTTTTCATTTGTAGACGTTAAAACGAAACGAAGCAGGAACACCAACAGGAAAGAAACCGATTCGAATAGTATCAAAATGAGAAACCATTATAAGGCGAATGATGGTGGTGATAGTTTCAAAATTGCTAGTGATAGTAATACCATTGTGACTGGTGATGATTCGGGTAAAGTAAGTGTTTTTGTGACTTCTTCATTACGTTTGCCATAACCTTCGTGCTATTACTTGGTGTGTTGCACAACTTTAATCATGATGCAGCCATCAAATTCAACACGGTACACAATTAGTATTAATCGAAACCGACGCATATTGTTCGTTAAACCTGATTTCATCACCGGATAAAACGTCGACGTCCTAGAGAATGCGGTCCGTATCATTGACCACCTTAACGGGCGATAAATGACACCGATTTGATTTTGTTCGGTTAAGGTTTAAATACGCTCAAATGAGCGATAATTTATCAGATGGTGCTATACATTGTTGTTATTTTTGTGATTCATCATTCATTTCCGAAGGTTCTCCCTCAGACAATGTAAACTTTCATCGTTCAGGAAAGACAAAGTAGTAGCGTAAACGAGCAATCAGTGATGGAAACGAAAAAAGACTTGTAAAAATGAGATTTTCACCGCGGATTTTTTTTTTCGTTTCATTTGCTCTCATTGTGTGCAGCTACTTCGAATATGGCCAATCTATTTGCTGATTATTGACTCATCCTTGTAATCGTTCTCATCTGGATTCCGTCACCCCGTATTTCGAAATAATTGAGTTGGTAACACTTCAGATTAGTTGCTGATAAATCTGTTTAGATGCTTTACGAATCAATCGAATATTGTTGTTAGTATTTTATAGTCTCAGTTTTGGAATGGTCATCTTATCATCATTATCTTTATCCATTTTTATGCATCTTTTTGAATTTATCAGATGGAATCCAGAAATTGTCCTCTCTCTAATTATTTGAAATATGTACCGGTTTTTTTTTTGTATATTCATTTTTTGAAGTCTTCATTAGTAGTCGAATTAAAGTATAATTTTTTCAAAGTTCAACTAACCGTAATGGATGTGCACCGTTTCGTCTTTGTGAAAAGTTTCAGCTGTTTAGCATTGTCAGTCAGCACATATAGAATCTCATGTTTTATTTTATTGATATTCATTAGACGTTAATTACGTACATTACTGTTTGTATGTGCGATTGTAATCGTCATCTCTGATTATTATTATTACAGTTATCAATGCCATTAGTTTTTGTTGATGAATTTGAAAGAAACCAGTGCTGAGAATAGTCATTTACACTTCATTTGTTAATTATTTTTTTATGAAATGGGATCGTTTTGTGCTATATTTAATGTACCATCGCTTAACTGCATACTTCGTCCTATTTTTTGTCTTTCTTAAAATTTCATTAATCGATATATTTATTAAGAATTGAATTAATTTTATTCATTCATGCAATTGCACTAGGTCAGTGTGAACTTAATGTAGGTGATATGCGATGTAGAATTATGATTTTATCAACAAAAGATAATTTATTGCTTGTTTGGTGTGCATTCGAATTATTCATATTATAATCATAGTTGGTGCTGTTGCTAATGTAATTGATGAGCCTTTCGTATTGTTATATGTCGGCCATGCTTTTGTGTCCATGATTCTGACGGCATTTTGCTACTGAACGAAATCCTGTAGAATACGCTCGGCTATATCGGGGAAGAGGGGAACTGGGAAGGAGTTGATAACCTCGCTTGAGTTTCAGCCTCGTCAAATTGGTTTAGGCTCAGGGTTTGCTGTTTCCCTTAAAATCAGCTAATATTCTCGAGCGTTTGGGCGCATTATACAGTTTTCCAGTTGACGTGAATTGCTAGAGTGCAAAAAATCAATGTTTTTGATGTTGTCGTTGTCTTCGTCAATCTGTTACTTAACATTCACAATCGGTTTGTCTTAATAAGATTAATGATTTTAGTGTTTTGTGACAGAATCTTGTTAAAATTTTATGCGAATAAGTAAATATTTCAGCGAAAAATTGAAAATAAGTCGCTTGCTGTAATTCATTCAGGTAACAAACAAATAAATAACCTACATGTTTTTACCTGATTGAATTTACAAGAGGGGAGAAAATGTGTGTATAAGACGGAAAAGTTTGCATTGTACAATATAAATGATGGTTGTTATTATTATCGGTAGCAGAAGTCTGATTACTGATCGGATTGATACAATAATACAGAAAACACAACAATTTATTCAGAAATCATTTCATTTAGGTGTTGTTTCATTTGTTTATTTCACAGTGATGTATTTCAGTTTGACGACACTTTCATGTTGATATCAGCATTGATGATAAAAACGGTGGTTACTGTTATTGTTTGCGTTGCTGTAATGAAATTGATGTTATGAACGATATTCTAGAGTAGAGCAATGACGTAAAAGAGTTTGATCTAGAATCAATGTTCACAAATTGTTATTATTATCATTGAAATTCATCTTTAAGCCATACCTAAAGATAGATACCTACCTATCTGTTTAACCAATCAACAAGATATTCTACAAAGATAGATATGTGTTCAAGTCCAATAATCTGATCATATCTTCATAAATCTTTTCCTTTAATCATATCGCGCAATGTTGATCAACTCCTAGTTTATCCGTTATCCTTCCGTCCATCCATACATCGTCATCTCTTCTTTGATGTTTTCGTTATCTATTCCCGTCATGTTGCGACATTCAGTCTCGATCGTTGGTCTTATGCCGAACGAAGCTTTCCATTGAGACTTTGATTGAATGATCTAATACCAAACGTAATAGTCTCATTTATTCGCATCACAAATTTGTTCGTTTATTTTTCTATATTTTGCGTTGTATTTTTTCGTTCTTTTTTATTTTGCACATAGGCAGTTTAGTGGTGGTGATGGTGGTTTTGGACCAAGAAATGAATTAAACAAAACTGCAAGGAGCGAGTTGACATTATGAAATTGAAGAGGTGTTTCAAGTAGCGGAAATAATGTGAATTCAGTGGGAAAAGGATAATTGATTGATTGGTGATGTGGATTTTATTTTATGAATTATCAAATAGGTGTGAATTTTTGGTTTAGTTTGAATTTACGTCGGAAGAACGAAAGCAGTTTATTTATGTAGGTACATATGTTGATGGCTTGGATTTGAGTTGAAAAATGTTGAAATGAATGAGAATCGTTGGTTTGAGAGAGTAAATTTAAAATTCGTATTTTGACAGATAGGGAGAAATGCTCAGAATGATCTTTATCTTTATTTATTACTGTGTTCGTTATTATTAGCATTCGTTATATGTATGTATACACGAGTGAGTGAGTATTATGTAATGATAATAATCGTAATGATCATCGTAAATAAATGATTAACAGCTACAGCAAATTTATTAACAAATCATAAATTTCTGTTTGGACAACAAAATCGACGTTGTAAATTTTATCATTCACTTTTATGAGCTTGTGAATATTTATAACAGTAATAATAATATCTACGATAGAAGTAATACTAGTAACAATGATCACGATAATAGAATGGTAATAATAATTAATATTATAATAATAATTATTATTATAACGATAATAATAATCAGTTGTACTGTTAAACCACATTTATATAAATATGAGCAGTGTGTGATGTGCTTGTGTTGTTAACAATTGAGATTATCCTTTTCATCAAGCAATAGTTAAAGTATTGGTAGTACGAAATAGAAAAATTAGGAATACAGGTTATACGTAGATTGGTTTTTGCAATTGTTTTTGAAGTATGTTAGCGTTTGAAAATGTTTCGGAGAAAGCAATTCAAAGAAATGCGTTCAATGAATTGGCGAATGAAGGAAAAGATACGTTGTTATGTATATTAACGACTAATAATAAGGTCCTTTGCGGTAATACGGTGTGAAAGAGTGGCCGACGGTTTGATTAAGCAGCGACGCACACTGAACACTCACCAACCTATTCGATTATCGCAAACAACAAAAATTTTGGGCGCCAACTTTTATAAATATACCGCTAAAAGCTATCATTATTCACATACATTTTATACACACATATATTTATGTATACTGAATTATCTTTCCGAACATCCGTCCGTCCGATGTAGTGAACGAAAAGAATGAATAAAATTGTAAGATGACTTAAATCAGTGGTTCTCATGCTTGGAAACCGCATTACTTCGCTCGATGGTATGGTAGACCGTCGTTGCCCTATTACAAGAATTTACAATTTCCACGCATAACATCAGAAAATCGTCGATGGAATTAATTTCTTGGAATAAAACAAGTATTCTTATAACTACCGTAAGTATTCTTATAACAAGTATCATTTACAGAAAGAAGATAAACTTCAACAATTGACAACGAAAAGCACTGAAAAAAAACATTCGTTGGCGATGAATAGATTGAAATTTATCAACAAGTTCAATTATAATCCAAAATACCTCTGCCATCCCCAATTGCTTCTTCCTAGGGGATAATTTACCCCTCTATGAAGGCTAATCTGAAGATGAATTGAAAAGTAACTGAATGTTCTCTGTATGAAGGATTGCCTTATGAAAAGATGAATTCATTTCATGTTGTTTCAAGGTATTTTATCATATTATATCATGTACATTTTGTAGCATGTTGAAGAATTGTGGAAGATATAATGATTATTTTTTGAATTCATAACTGTTATTACAGAATTCGAAACAAGCCGACAAGCAAACGAAAACAAAAAGAAAGGAAACAGAAAAGGAAACTTAAGAAGACACACAAGCCGCATATTAGTGTTCCGTTCATGATGATGAATCCAAGAGATTCAGGTGAATGTTTTAAATTTTTAAGACGGTGAGACTCAGCGTGAAAGAGACTGTGAAGATCGTTTAATTAAGAATCGATTTTCTGATAACATGTATATTATATTGAATTTCTGATAACAAAAACAACAACGACATTTAATTACAGTTAGGAACGGTAGCAACACAATAATTTTCGCTTGTTTTAGCATTTTTCGGTTCTTTCGGTATAATTTCTTTCATTTAGTTGCTGCCTGTTATTTATGCACATTGATTTAGATGTTTCTTTCTCAGGTGGTGGTCACTGAATTTAAAACGTACACAGACAGCACATAGACAGGCTTATGTGACTGGTTGCCGTTGAATGAAGACAATTGTTATCGTCTCAAGAAGAGAACAGAGAGCAAGATGATGCTATGTTGGTGACAAGAAGTGGATGATGACCTATGACCCATGGACGACCCCATTGACCATTTGACCAGTGTTAGTTGACCGGTTGACCACGGTCCAAAAACAGCGATAATAGTCCAATTAGTATGAGATATTTTTAGAAAGTTTTTGAAAATTATTAGTTTGTTTTTGATATTTGCATTTTTTTGCATTCTGGTTTGTTTGCTTTATTTCGGTGGCAAAATTTTTTCGCTTATGCACATTTACTTGCTTGTCTGTTTGTTTTCTTCGTTCTTTTCGTTGTAGATTTTGACTAGTGGAACAAAATTACTCGACGCTTTTTGGGTTCAGGTCGAGGAGAATTTTCTTGAATTACTTCATGCTGGCCAATCTGTAACATTTATGTGTACTTTTTAAAATGTTTATATGAAATGTAAACTGAACGGATATGCAAAAATTTATAAGCACAGCGGCAGTAATACTAATAACGGTATTATTAATGTGTTTCGTTCTGTTGGTTTCCAGCGTTCGGTGTTTCTTGTCTGCAGAAAATATCAACAAAACGTATGTATGTGTGAAGGAAAGGGCTCATTGAGCGAAAGGACGAACGATCAAATGGAACAAATAATGAACGTGCGTTGCATTTAATCATTCGTCATTTATTGCACCATCAGCAGCCATTCACAAGCCAGCAGCCAGCAAACAAACCAACAAGCAGCAGCAGCAGGCATAAGCCAAATCAGCAACAAAAGAGCGCGCGAAAAGTAGGCGTCACTCGATCAGTGAGTCAGTATTCATTTTGATGGTGGATGATAAATAAATCTAAATGAACAAGGTAGTGATAATGATGTGTTTTAGTGGTAGGATATTGCATTGTTGTTGTTTTGCTCGTCGTTACTTTGCTAGGAAGTATCTTCTTTCTTTTGACTTCATTTTTATTTGTATCTGTATCAGTGTTAGTATTTGCTTTGCATGAATATGGCAGTTAGACAGTCGTAGCATCGGTAATAGCAATAGCGTTATAACCCAACACGAATCATGATCATATTCTGCTCCTCATATCGTGTCGCATCTTGGCTCATCTATCTCCATCTTATCTAAAATCATCTTAAAATCAAACGATCAGTTAATCAAGTGGGTACGATATGTTCGTTCGTTCCCATTCTACTTGATCCATTTATTCATTGCCTCCTCCTCTTCTTTCTTTCTTCTCCTTTTCGTTCCCGCATTTTCGTTTATTCATTTATCTCTTCATAGGTTTAATCTGATCCGCCGTTCCGATCTCATCTGATTAGTTCCAAGTCAATCCGCCGAAATATCAGCAAGTTCAGGCAAGGCAGGCTTCTATAGGTTAATTTTAGCTCCTTAAAGCTAAAATTAACCTATAGGAGCCTGTCTTTCCTGAACTTGCTGATATTTCGGCGGATTGACTTGGAACTAATCAGATGAGATAAGAACTAGTCAGATGGGATCCTTAAAGCCTAGTGTTTTGTGTGAATCTGAGTCTGAGATTGACCATAATTCAAGAGGTAAGATAATAAATTTTATTAATGTGGTACAAGCGTTTCATCCGTATGAGTAACAATACATTCATCCGATCAGACAGATTTACAATGGTGTATTAGCCTCAGGGATAAAGGTCTCGCGCTCGTTAGTCTCGCTTTTGTTCAGTTTTTGTTTATTCATATTGATCTAAGAACAAATCATTAATAATAAGTAAGCAAGAGAGGAGAGAGTTGAGCTGAACAAATTGAACCTAAATATTTCCGAGCTGGAGTCTTCAGAGAAATTTAAATTGTTGTTCGAGTAAGTGTAGCTTTTTGTCTATGTGTTTTTCGCGACAAATTTTTCATGGACTAGTGATAATCATCACATTTTATTTAACTTTGGACTTTTCAGTCGTGCTTTCATTCTAATTCTTTTCATTGGTTTGTTCATTCGAATTTTATTCCAGCGAAAACGATCAGTATTTTCACTGTTATAATTATTGTTATTACTATTGTCATCATTACTATTGTTATTATTATTTTCTTCATAATGTTTATTAGTGTCGTTAATAAAACCTTTATTATTACTGTTGTCGTTTTTATTATGATTATGATTTTCATCATTATTCTAACTGTTCTTACCTTCGGTGATACAAAGCAATCGACAGTTGAATTTGTTCATGTCCGAGTTCGTTGATATATTTCGACGATAGTTTCAGAGACCGAGAAGATTTTAGATTCATAATGACAGATTTCAGATATCCATAATCAGTCAAGCATGCAGTCATCTAACTAACTGACTCACTTACCGCTTCACTTTTCATTGAATTCATCCGCTAAACGATCATTCATTGACAATAAACAACCAAGCGCGATATTTTGCATCGTGGAGTGCTTTCGGCTGACCAACTGACTGAATATTTTTGGTTCACAACGAATTTTTCAACGGTGGAATAGAAAAACGAAACAGTCAGTATGAGTGAGATATCGACGATAGCACCGATTAAGGAAAGCAATATTGGTGAGATAAGAGACGAAAATTCGGTCGGCTACAAAAAAAATCCGAGCAAAATCACAGTAACAACTTCAGATGATGAAGAGGTATAAGTTTCCCTCGTTTCAGTTTTCATTTTTAGACGAAATCATCCGTTTATTTTTCGTCCAGAAATTCGTTGTTTCTCTTTTTTTTTTCTCAAGCCGTTTCAAGTTATGCAATTCAAATCTGATTTCGTTCGTTCCAAAATGAACAAATTCTCGAACAGTACATAAGATAGTCAGGACGACATTTACAAATGAATTTACTTCATAGAAGGTCATACAAAGTAGAGACAACTTTGATTTTAATGACCAAAACTGTGATGTAATTGCTGAAAATTTTTTGAAGAAATCACCATTATGCATTTATATATTCGACCCTTGCTAGGGAATAAATTAATTCAATTGCGCCAATAGATTTCTCTAGATAATTTTCGACTTTGATCATGTTTTTGTTTCCATCACACATAGAATATCTTCATTATCAATTCGATCAGTCTCACTTTCGGTCTACACAATTTTGCGGTCAGTGAGTACCCGGTTTATGAAACGGCTGGCTCGCCTGCCAATTACTGCTCATTCATGCCCACATATCCATCCCAATTTCTCTTCGTTACATACATTTTTCCACTGATGCCTCTAAGACAGCAAGTTCTGCATTTATAATTTCGGGTTTGCTTGAAAATCATTTCATTCAAATCATTATTTCAAAACCACACACTTTTTTTGCATTTTCTTGCATTCAGATTGATATATGTTCAAATGATTTCGATGGAGCGAATAAGTTCACATCGTCATCATCGCCAACAACAGCGTCTGCTTTGTTGTTGAGTTCGAATTCGACGTCGTTCAACTCTTCTCAACGGATCGATCAAGCAACCGCTGAAACACGACGCCAGTCAACAGTATGCTTATCATCAGCCTCACCATTCGTCGTTTCACCGCAAACTCAAAATGATGACGACTGCAACGCTAACCAAGCGAATATTTCTTCAAGTTGCTAATCGTTTTTTTTTTTCTCATTTAGTATTTCCACCGTTTCAACGGTTTTTCTGTCCCGTGAAAGTTCGGATTTTCTTGCCGATTGACCGCGAATTTTGCGCTATTTCTTTTTCCAATGGCAATGATGATGAGAAAACATCAAACTTGGATTTGTGTATATCTCTGACAGCGTCGCATCGATGACTGACCAATTTGTTGCGGGTGGAAATTCCTTGATTTTTGGAATTTTTGAACAGGAGGGGAATTGATTTTGTGCATTGAGAAGATTTTTGAAGATCTCAACAAAGATGACATGTGGTTGACGAAAAATGAGCACGAAAGAAAGGGAGAAATTTTTTGCAGCTTACTGCCTCGATTCGTCGAGTCTATCAACCGACCTCTCAGCAGCAACCACTTCGAATAACACCTCATCGGCGCTATCGCTGTCATGCTCATCGTCTGGGGTCGGTGGTATATCGCCACTGCTAATCGCAAGACCAACCCAACCGAAACTCAGTCGCAAACGAAGTCGACTGAGTCTTGATTCCACAAATACTACGGATGATAACGAGAGTGAAGATGGAGACAGCCAGAATGCATCTCGAAAAGAGAAATCACTCGGTCTTTTATGTCAAAAGTATGTTGATCTAATCAGTTGTTCCATTTATTCTTTAATTCTAGCCATTCAGTGATGTTTCTTTTGTTACGTTTTTGTTTATTGACTGATGAAAGTTCTTTTATAGTTACTTTATGTTCTTTGATGAAAGTTCTTTATAGTTTATAGTTCATAAAAGTTCTTTTAGGTGCATGAAGTTTCATTTTTTTCGGATTTGCAATGATGTGCAGTTTTTACTAATTATGTTGCTGTCATATTTATGATAATAATTATTATTACTAGTTATTATTATTATTCTTTTCCTATCAACCGTGCTGCTACTTCAAGTTTTTGATTCTTATTTGTTGTAGATTTTTAATAGCAATGGGTGAAGAAGCTCAAAGTGGTTCGGATGTTCATTTGGAAACTGTTGCGAAAAAGATGAGTAAGTGTAAATATAAATATGAGAGGTTTCCGTTTTCCTCCAAAAGAGCACTTACACTATGATTTTCAAGTTGTTTGAATTTTCATGAAAGGAAAGGCGGGAAGGGAGATTGAAATAATTTGTAGAGAAAATAATTTCCATATTAATTGAAGCCGCAAGTGAAATATTTACATTTTTGGTTTTCAGCCGTTGAAAAACGTCGTATTTACGATATTGTGAACGTAATGGAAGCGTTGGAAGCGATGAGTAAAACGAATAAAAGTTTTTATCGATGGCATGGTCTGGACGAGTTACCGCAGTTAATGGCTTTACTTCAGGTTTCATCTTTCACTTTACTTGCGATTCATTTCGCTCTTGTCCCATTCAGCACACCACCCTTATGAACTGAAAATATTTCGTACGTGAATGCACGATCTTCAATCCATGGCTATGCACATAGTTATTTACATGGCATTAAAATAGCTAGCTAACGAGCTTGCATTGATTTGAATTCACCGAATTCTCTTATTTGTGGTTGTGTGAGTGGTAGGGTAGATTAAAAAAGTTATTCTCTTTTCAGCAACAAGCTCTTAGTGAAGGTCTACCAGAGCGTATACATCGAGTGGAACGTGCTATGTGCAGTTTCACAGAGCTTTCACCCGCTTCTAAACGGTCAGGTGCTGATATTGTAGGTAAGTGAGTGCAAACAAGGAGTGATTTTCGTCTTTATTTAATCGTGCAGGATTAATACTGATTGTATTGGTAGTCTAGTGTTTGATGATAATGATTGCAATAATAATAAGAGTAAATGATGATAACGGTAAATGATGACAAGGCTAAGTAATGAGTATGAATATTTTAAGGAACGCTTGTGTCAAACAAGACAACACTTAACGATAGTGGATGTTACTTTGGTGTTGGTTTATCATCCAACAATAATAATAATAATGAGGAAGACTGTGACTCTGAAAATGATCCAAGATTGGAATCCCTTTCAAAAGCAGCTCAAAAAAGTGAGAATCGAGTTCTGATCAAAAAATTCGGAAGTGAAAATAATTTGTCGAATCCAACTTCAACAAGCACCAAAAATTCTCAACAAATTACACGCGATCGTAACGCCAAAAATTCTTTAGCCCAACTATGTCGACGTTTTTTAATGGTGCTTTTGTGCAATCCGGTAAGTTTGTTTTCTATTTTTCGTTTCAAATTTTTTCAAAAGGTTTTAGTTTTTTCCGCGCATCACACACTTCAGTTTGGTAGAGAGAGGGAAGGTTTCGTTAACGAAAAGATTCACGGCGGAGGCACAGCACCAAGGTTGAATGCTTAAGCAATCGCAGCATGCAGCCTGATTTGAAATCGATCCTCCCAGAAAATCGTTTTGCTCGATTTTTGCCGTGATTCAAAATGTGGGCATAGAAGCGAATATATCTTTAAGTGTTTTGAAACAACCGATGCAATTGGGAGAAGTTTTGAAGAATCTCTCGGGAAAATTTGAGTCGGATTATTATTGTGAAATTGTTTTTATTAGATGATAATATCATTTTGATTTGATTGTTTTCATTTTTTGTTTATTTATTTTCAGAAGGATCGTCGACGTGTAAGTTTGGATGTTGCAAGTACTGTGCTTATTAAAGATGCTGATAGTGAGGGTTTCGAACCACCAAGTCGAAGTTGGTTATGTGATATCATCATTTTGATCGTATCCTGTTTTTGAGTATCTGAACAATACGCATTCGAATAGATATTTGGGAAATTTTTCATTTTCGCAATTGCAATAAACAAACGACAATTTTGGTCTCCATCGGACTGGAATGATTTTTCAACTTTTTTGCCAACAAAATTATTATTTGTCCGTTTTTTTTCCTACTGTCATCAAAAAATTTATTTGATAGGTCGATGTCGTCGCTTATACGATATAGCGAATGTTTTGGTTGCGATGGGTATCATCAAGAAAGTTCATTATTTATTTGGTACAAAGAAAATTCCACTTTTTGTTTACTGCGGGCCAGAACCAGACGGCGAGTTTTCAGCAAATAATATTCATTATTTTCTTACTAAATTTGTTTTGAACTCAACGAAGAACGTAAATAAATCCATGAATATATAAGTTTCGCTTATTGATTGTGAAAGTGTCTCATTCGAATGGGAGCATTCGGAATTTTGTGGTTTGAATTCTTCATTATAACATTTCCAAATTTAGCAGAAAAAGCGAACGCTGGTAGATTGGATATGTTGAAAGCGTCGAATGTTAATGAGAATAATTTACTGACGAGACGATCTCTATCCGAAAAAACTGTGCTTCGATCATCAGAGAATTCGTGCTTATCATCTGCTTCAAAATCATCATCTACGAGAAAATATTCCAAAATTTCAAAGAATGAAACAAATTCAACTGAAATAACTGAAGCACCACCACTAAAACGGATCGGGTTTTCCGTTTTAAACAATAATAATGAAAATGGAAATGTAAATGTGAAAATTTCCAAACTGAATGCAGTGAATAGAAATGGTAGTAATCTGCGGCGAGCAATCAGCAACAATGCAATTCTGCAGCAACAGCGGCAACAATCCGCTGCGAATCAAGTTGAAATTGCACGGCAAAAGTAAGTGATGAATTAAAATGAATAAATTATTTGTGTACAATGAACTGATTGAAGTTTTCTTTGAACTCTTGCAAAAAGTGTTTCTTTGTTGCAAACATTTGTACTTTTTTTCACACGACGAAATTCCTTCCAGAAGAGGAAACATTTTGTTCGCCAAATTTCTAGCTTATAAACATTCAAAGTGGATCGATTTGAAAATATTTCGTCGGATGAATTGATGAAGTTTTTTTGGCTATGTTTATTTTTCAGGTGCGACTTTGACATTTTGGTGGCTGCATCAGAACAAGAACGACGTCGCCTTCAAGAAGCGATCAGTTTTGGCGTTGCCACTTCATCGTCGAAGGGCTGCCTCGCTAAACGTGGACCTAGCCAAAGTCGAGATCTGAAATCATCAGAAATTTCTCATTCAATATTGCAGTCATCCTCCTCATCTCCCGTCTCGGCCAGCCGATCTCAAATATCCTTTAGTGATTCGGAAATGATCAACGATGAGAATATCCCTCCTCTGATTGGTTTTGCTGCTTCCCACACAAATCTAATGTTATCACCAAAATCAACAGCCAGCGGTGTCGTGCCGTTGGTCCGTACACCATCAGGCGCCATTCTTGTCAAGCCAAAAGCTCAGGTATCAGTTTTTTCCTCGGGTCATTTTGAGACTTCTTGACTTGAAGTTCGTGCGTGGAGTTTAATTTCATTTCTAGCCTTTGAGCTAAAACCCTTTGAAATATGGTGAGAGAAAAGAAAGATTTGATGTTATAGATAGATCCTGCTGCCGATAGTGAAGAAGTTTTATCATGAATTTTATTTGACTAAAATTTCTTCCACATAAAAGTCCTCTTCTGTATTCCAGTTCGCTAAAAATTCGGCTGTCCCGATGAGTGTTAGTGGAAGTGGCGGTGGACTATCATGTGCGCATTTGTCGATGCTCAACAACAACATTTCACAGCAACAACAGTCGAACGTTGCACGAAAATATTGCATGATGAAGTTGAATGGCAATGAAAGAAACATTCTAAGTGGCAGCAATAGTAGCTCTTCTTATCAAATACACGATCCGAAACAACCGCATGCATTCCAAAAAATTGTTTGTTTCTCATTTTTCGTTCTTTCAATGGTTATTGAGTAACAGTTGATACTGTCGATACTGCCTGCTGTTTTTAAAAGCATACAATAGCAGTAGCACTCATTATAACAATGCTTTTATTCGAGAGAATTTGACTCGTCTTTAAATGTAGTTTCGGGTTTTCTCTTTGCGTCCACGTTTTTGAGTCGTCGTTGGTCGGCGGCAGCCCTCATTAGCAACGGAGCAGTGGGGTGGTTCGACCACTGTGTTGGCAGTTTGCGTGATAACGACTTGTAATACGGCTCGTTATCTCATCTACAGGATTCTATGATACTGAACGATTGCCTCTGAAGAAATCAGTTTGTTTGTGATAAACGACGAATTCGTTGAAAGTGAATTCGAATTGGTTACCAAAAAAAGTTTACGAGATGCATTTTCCAAACGCTTTGAGTCAGACAAAAAAGAACTTCTTTGTTTGATGAAGGGAAAAATAAATGGACACTTGTGAGATGTGAATGGTTTTTGCTTTCCAAAATTACGATTTTAAAAATTGATATTTCAGGAAGGTGGAGCGTCAGCATCACAATCTGCACTAGCAGCATCTGCAGTAATCCATCGCCCAGACTCTGTGATGTCATCAGCTATATCCACGAGATCTCCATTCATCGCGTTCAATCCTATCCAACCTAATTCATCTGGATTTCATTCCCAGATCCACCCATCTGCCATCCATCATCAAATCCAACACACGGCTGCAGCCGCTGCATATTCAATGAGTGCCATCCTGGGCACAGTGAATAGAGGTGAGCATTGTTTTTGTTAATATTTGTACTGGTTTTGTTATTATTATGATTAAAACGTATTGTTGTGTTGCTGTAATATGAACTTTCAGTGCCACCAAACGCAGCCACGATGCCTCAATGTCATTATCGTATACTCTCGTCACCATTCCATCAACCACAGCATAATGACATACTCAAACCTCTTCAAACGATCACAGCATTCGAGTAAACTTTTTCACTCATATAATTTTCATCTGTTGGATTATTTGCAATGAAATTATCGAAGAGTACTTTTTGCTCGTGAGCTTCCTTTTTTTGCTGTTTGATGATAGGGGAGAGATTTCGCATCTCCTAGACAAGCGAAGCAGACAGACTGAAATGTGTATGTTGTTCGCACTGAATTATTATTTATTGTTATCACTACTAAAATAGTGCTTATTATTGATATTGAAAGATTAACTTTCCACATCGAATGTTTTCAGCAAACCTCCCGCTACAAACCGCACGATTTTGGGAGAACTGCAGCCTCAGCAATCTGTTGCTGCGTTATATCATCAGCAACATTAGAACTTGAGCCACTAGCGTTATGAGGAGTAGTTCATATTATTTTCTTATTTATTTATTATTATTATTATCGTCGTTATTATGAGGAGCATTATTGATGGAAGTGTTATCATCATTAGTACTATTACTGCTCTGATTACTTCGTTCTGCGATCATTACAGATCATGCTTCAGCACTTGATTTTTCTCGAATTCTAGTAGAAATAATGTTGTTTAATTAATGTTATTCTATTTGTAATTAATTTGATACAATGTTATAAATAAGTTGTTGTTTATTATAATGAGTTTTGAGTTTAAGATTATTAGATTGCGTGTGTGATGTTTGTGTTTGTATTATATGCCAAATTATGTTGTTATTTAGTCAGTTCAAGTCTTTTTTTCAACTGAACGCTTCAAATTCGTCGCTTCTTTTTTGTGTGCATTCAAATAACTGAAAGTCGGCAAAAATTGTTTTTCATAACCTTTTTCGTTTTTTTTTTTAAATTAGAGTTCATCTAAAGTTGTGTTTTATGATGTATTCATATTTTGCCAACGCTGAGTCTCTTCTTATCTTTTTATTTGTTTATTTATTTATGTGTGCTTATCAAAAATCAATATCTCTCCTTGTTATTTTCAATCTGAACAAGAATTATTAATTCAAAGGGTATTAACTGTCTTGTTGATGCAGATTGAGAGAAATTAGTTGTTGTTGTAGGAAGGTTTACAGCTTAGTTTTTTTTCAACTTTTAATGAGTCGATTTACTTTCAGTTTATTCATTCATATAGTTAGTTCATTTGGGAGGGAGAAAATTCAATTCATGAATGGATGGGTGGACGCGTTTTCTTCTGAAGTGAGAAAGTTTGAAATTGAAAAGGGGAGGGTGGGGGGTTTGGAAAATTTTGACTAAAATATATGAGGCGTTTTTTAGGAAGGATGAAGGGGTTCAACAAAAATTGTACAAGAGAGAAATGAAAATTGTTTTAAGAGGTTGTCTGGAAACATCAATCACTTTTCGTATATGATGTTCAATACAATGAATTTAACGATTGCAATTTTGGTACTGTTCTTGAATATATTCACTTGCGTTGTTATAGGTTAAAAGAGCATTTTTGTTTGATCATTTCAGTTTGAAGTGTTGTTTGTAATTAACATTTTAAAAGAAATTCTCTTCCGAACTGTTCTAATTTTCCAATTTTTTCTTCCAAATGTTCGTATTGCTCACAAGCGATTTTTTGTTCTAATTTTGATGACGTGTTCCGTTGATTATTTTATTTGTTTATTTGTGGGTTTTTTTTGTAATTCCTGATTTGTTAATAATGCGATACGTTATTCATCAATTGATTAGACAATTAACTATTTGTTACTTTGTGTATGTGTATTATTTTTTATTATCGTTATTATTCTTACCACTATTATTATTACTGGCATTGTTATTATCATTTTTATCAGAGCTGTCAATGTATAGCAACGGTTGAGTTCCAGTTTTACTCGCTGCCGGTTGTTTACTCATTGGTCTGATCGAATGATACTGAAATAATAAAGTGAAAATTTATTTGGGTGCTTGTTTTGTCGTGAATGCAAATAATCACTGAAGTTGTTACGTGTAGTCGTGTTGTGATTTTGTTTTTTGAAACAGTCATCTTTGGTTGTTGATCGAGTTGCGTTATGAAGTTTTGAAGGTTTGAATCATATTTAGTAAGAAATAGAAGTGGTAAGAAATAGAAGGGTTGAGGAATGAAGTTATCCTTGTGAGGAAACAATATTGGTGAGGGGATTACCCTGGGAAGTGTGATGATTTGAAGGTGTTGCTCAGTCGCTATCTTACATGTCTATGATAAGTAATCTTGAAGTTTTAGGTAGGGAGCGCGGATTTATATTCGCCGTTTGCAAAATTACCTTCGCTTCATTTCTTCGGTCGCTTACTTTTCTAAATCCGTTGACTGTTCTTCAATGGATGTGAATTTATTGGTGTTATCTGGACAACAAAAACACTCACTAGATTGGCCAGGCTGTTGAAGTTTCGTATCCCTGCTGAACAAAATGTGTTCCCTTTCGCATAGTTTTAGCCTTAATTGACGCCACCCTGCTGGCTAAGCAAACAAGGTAGGCTAACCGAATAAAACCACTCATCATTCCAGTAATTAATTATTCGCCATAAGTATTTTGCATAATTAAACGTAGCTGAACCAATCGAGTAACTAATTGTAATTCTAATAAACATTTTGCCGTCCCAAGCATGTTATCGAAATAAGCAAAAATTATTTATTCCTTGAAATTCGTTTAGCTCCAGAACGTCCTCATCAATGAGAAAAATCAGCGTTGATATCAACAGCACCTTTAAAAGTATGTACTTTATTTCGATGACCACAATATCACGGTGAACATTCATTGTTGGGCAGACAGAATCCGTACGTAGGTTTGGACCTTGATGACTATGTAGTTTTTTCTTTTGAGTGTCAGTTCAGAGCGTGTTCTCAGCTAAACGAAAATCCTGAATTATTTATTCAAATGAACACTTTTATACTGAGCAAAAAAAAACAAAAACATATAATCGCACGAATAATACACAACAGACAATAATAGTTCATAAATCAATATCAGTTCATATAGGCTTTAAATAAAGCAATCTCAAATCGGTACTACATCAACAAACAATAATACTTGATTAGAGTAAGTTTTATGAAGTGAAGAATAAAACTTTACAGAGCATTTTGTGTTGACACAAATACACACAAAAAACCGATTACACGTAATGAATTAAATCAATTCTGTTGTTATTGAAACAGTTAGCATAACAATTTGAAGGATTTTTTGTGAATCAGTTAATCAATCAAAACAGTTCAGCACATACAACAAATGAAAATCAAATAAAAAAACATAAACGAACACCTCTAGGACAGTTGACTGCTAAACGTCTAGGATGACTTCAAAAACTACTAAATTAACCGCAAAAATCGATGAACAAAACAATTTTGATCGTGATTCTGTTTCAAGATTAAATCAAATCAAATTCACACTTTCAATATTTTTTATGTAAATGTGATCGGAACAAAGCACGATGTGCTCGTGATAGAATGTGTGAGAAACGATTATTGAATGATGAGGTGTTGCTTAATTGAGGTGCAAACGTTACAGCAAGCTCATCGAGACGTTGATTGGCTGCATCTTCACCGGCGATCCAAATTCGATTACGTATCTCAGGTGTGCTACATACCTGCAATGAACTGCAGCGATTGTATCGTACGAGAAATGAAATGAAGTCGTTTTTATGTTGCGATCAAATGGAAGTAAAACGTTCGTATGCCATGAAAGAAATATTGATGAAAATATCACTTACACGTCTACGAACCCAATCGCGAAACAGACCCGTTTCAACGAACCACTCAGTGAAACGACGTGCAGAAGTGGATTCATGAGCGTTGACGAGTTGTGTTAAAGAGAGACGTAATGGCTCTGGATCACCATCACAATCCGCCGTATATGACCTCAGTAAACCACACCATTTGTAATGTCCAACCAATGAGGCCAACCATGTTAACATTGCCTCAAATTTATCACTTTATTACATCTAAATCATATAGATGAAGAACTGCTAACTTCCGTTATGTGCACAAATCTGAAGAATGATTGAAGAGATGAGAACCGCTGTGCAATTGATATTAATGAGTGACGCACCAACCTTTTGAATAAGATCATCAGCTACAGGACCAGGTCCATTTGCGAGTGCCTCTCTGAACGAAACGATCAAATTCATTGCTAATTTCTTCGGCAGTAATAATTTTTCGCATAACGCCAATGCACTCTTCTCTTTATAATCCAAACTTTGTGCAGCGTTATACTGCTCAGATGGTTGAGGTACAAATATGCCTCCATCAAGATCAACAATTATCACATCATCCTGCAGTTTCTTTTCGAGTTATTTGCAGTCATTACGGAATGATTAACTTTGTCGCTATTATTACCATTATCATCGTCACCATCAATTGAGAGTAGCCATCAAACAAACTTGTATCAATATATTTAGATCACTATTTGTTATTATTATTATTACTGTTATGAATGAAAGACTGATCAATGCCGATCGTACAGATATTATTTCAACATATCAACGTAACACTTCCATAAATGGTAATCCAACGAGTAAAATAACTGACCTGCATGAGATCATCATCTGCATCATTATTATCATAAGAATTACTATTATGATAACCACCAACTAATAAATCTCTTAACTTGTAAAGATTATTTCTGAAAAGAATAGAAAACGTTTGAAAATTGGAAGATACTACAGAGGATTTGTTTAAAATTTTGCAAGTATTTTATTTATCAGTTGTGCGCTTCTTCATTCAACAAATGCGACGCAATAATGCGATGTGAGCAATTCGAACTGATTGGTCGTGATCAAAATGAATTTTTTCTTTTGCAAAAAAATGAAATGAATAATCGGTGAATAGATGAGAAAGAGCGGTTGAATCAGTTTAATAACCTTAAAACTCCAAGTAAATAAGGTGTTGGTGAATTGGCTAATTCAAGAAGCGTATCTGGCAGAACAGGTACGAGCGTGTATGGCCACGAGAATGGTTGAAGTAACGAGACGAGCGATTGTACCGCATGACATACGGACTGCACCTGTAAGTTTAGTTCCTTATTATAAGTGTCACTTATTTGCTAGCAAATTTTTTCATATTCTTGTTCTTTTTCACACTTTTATTGACCGATCAAATTTTGAATAATACTGTTACGGTTATGACATTATAATTATTACAACAAGAAATTACCGAATCTCCACCGATCAACACTTTTTGTTCGGCCAATAAAGCAGCCAAAACGCTTACTGTAACCTCAGCACCCATTCTCTTAACAACTGACGAGCAATCAGCCCTTCCAGGAGTGGGGCCTTGACTTCGAATCACTATTTCACGTTTCTTTGTACGACCGGTTGTTTCGGCAACACAAAGTGTACCACCTGATGGAAAGCATAAGTAATTTCATTAAAATATCATTATTGGTACCATTATTTGTTATTATTATTATCACCGTTATTATTATTATTATCGTTATTATTATTATCATTATTATTGTTATTATTATTATTATTATCGTTACGATTATTGTCATTATCACTACCGTTACTAGGGAACGGTCGTCTGAAAACAGCATCAAGTAGATTTTTGAGTGTTGATCGTCCTTGTTGCAAATAGTTGACGCATTCTCTGGCGAGTGCTGTATAGAAAGTAGGAGCATGTATCGGTGAGATTATCGCGAATACTTCAGCCATCATACAACCGCCATTCACACATAACTCTGCTGCTGATGAGGTTGACGCTGGAAGAATTTTGGTTCGATTTCGTTTCGAGACGAAAAAAATGGATTATTCCTACAGAGAGAAAAATTTCAAATTCCTTTGACATTCGTTTTAATTACCTGTTTCAGTGTCGAACACTCGCTCTCGCGGTAAGTATTTGATGCAATATGCAAATGTCCTGAAAAAGCATAACACTAGAAATAACAATAATTGCAACGGTGGTAGTGGGTTATAATGGCAGTAAAAATAACAATCAGCGATGTTACCTTTTTCCATGTTCATCGGTTAGTGTGAGCATGAATTCCTCGTTCCCAGTCCACTCTTTTGTGGAATGATAGGGATGAGCCCTCGTAAAATCGGGAATGAATAGATCAGCACATTCGACAGTTGAACGTTGCCGTTGAGTACTACGCTTATCATCACCACTGTCCTCTTCTAGCTCCGGATATCGATATGAGACAACAGGTACGTAAGCACTTTTTACACTTTTATACGGTAGTTCGTTCGATTCATTTCTGCAATGAGTGAACTTTATTCGTTTTCGCTTTCATCATGAATCGTGTTCAAATCGACCTGAGAAATCAATGAGTTACAAACGAACCTTTCAACGAGACTCACAACAAGAGCCGTGTCGAAAAGTTTTGGTGTCATCAGTCTACGGAATGCATTCACTTGCTCATCATAATGTGCTAGTGTTCGACGATGCACTAGTTTCGCTTTTGTTACACGTCTTCGTAACTTGCATTCGGCATTTTCGTTGTTTCCAATTGAGCCTTTGCTCTGCACTGGGTTCTTGTTTTGACTAGTGCTCTTGGATCGGCTTGAACTTGGACGATCGCTCACTTGAACATGAGCACTTTTCTGCTCTTGTTCTTCTATCCTATTCAAATGACAATTAGAATCATCAACATCCGTTATAGATGTATTCGTCGTTGATGGTTTCAGCTCTGAAGGTGCTGGAGAGAACGGGCACGATGATGACGGAGTGAGGGTGTTTGATTGCGCTGTTACTGCTGTTGTTGTTATTGTTGATGAAGTAGGACGGCATCTAGCGGTAATCGCACCGCCACGTCTCAAAAACAATTTATTATTCAACAAAAAACAGAAATCATTGATCATATTCAATTGCAATTATTTGCTTGCACTGTCTAAAGCTATTTGAATTAGCTCACTGGACCTAGCTGCTCATCCAAACTCTTCACTACCAACTTATTGCCTCCTTAAGCTTGTATTCAAAAAATTTGTTCAAAACGACATTATTATCAGTGACTGTAATCACGTAAGAGAATAATGACAAACTGATGATAAAGATTTTAAAAAAAACTTTGGCCAGTGAATATAGTGAACGTTTGAAGGGGAAGCATGCATGAAGACTGTATCAATATTAGCTAGCAGATTGTGCATATGGAACAATACTTTTGCATAATCACATCAAGTCAAAACAAATGATAAATCATAAAAAGATATCAGACAATACAAAATTTTCCACCAGCAGTATACAGATACTGTTGCGCTTATGTCATACTGCTTAGATGGCATTTTCGCAGCGCGTAATGAAGAAAATGGCATGAACAGAGTCAGCTCGAGCTCGTGCCCAAATGATCGGCGCACAAACGTTCTCTCGCATGATCGGCGCTATACAACTCAGCAGCGTACAATAATATGTGTGTTCAATAACAATACGGTACAAAATCAATAAGCATGCACCATTTATTCATTCAGTGACACGCTTTCATGCAGGCCATGATGAAATCGCATTCATACATCTTCCGTGAGCAAATTTATTTATTTATGTGTTCAATGTAAGCCTATACAAGCATATGCCGATTTTATCAATTATCAGTCATCATACAGAAATTGAATGTAAGCACAAAAAAGAAGCGTTGATTGTCTCCTAGCCAATTTTTTATGCTGTTAGTTTTGAAATGCATAAAAATTTGAATGCATTCATACGCTGTTTTAAAATGAATAAAAATTAATGAATAATCACCTTTCAGATTCTAATTTTATCATTGATTGTATACAACTTAGTAAACACAGATATTATAGAGTGAAAGGAATATGGTTGTGAATTGAATAATAACGGTGACAATGACCGTATTGAGTCACAGAATTTGATGGGTACTTTTTTGGAACCGGAATACGCATTAAAAAAGAGGAAATAAAGTATAGTGAAGTTGAAGATTTTTCTTTTGAAAAATATTTATATGACTGAATTTCTCAGTTGCAATAAGCTTAAATTTTACGAGATTAACTTCAGCACTTGCAGTGAGATGAAGCATTTCGTTCGCATTCTATTTGGATGAGTTACATTTTCGCATCCGAACAATTTTTTTTTCAGATGCTCTAATAGACGTAAGTAGATTGTAAACAAGTAATCATAAGCCTCGTTCCTCTCTGACACTGTTCTTTTAGTTAGTCAGTCATCCGATTCAACGTTTGAACAATTTTTTGAATGGTTGTTTTATTTTTATCTTTTAATTTTTTCCCTCCATTCCCAAAGCACAATTTCACGAACTTTCTTCTCTCTCACAATCAATATTATCAAATTAAAACAACTCAAGTGAAGCTAAATCAATTCGAATGTTGAAAATTATTTGAATGAATTTCACGCAAACGCACACACCACACACATACACAGACATATATACGAACGTACGATCGTCAGAGCATTGCAAAGCAAAAGCAAATTCTAAACCATATCTACATATCAAATATCATAAAATACGCATTTTTATTATAATGGATAAGTAGTTGTATTATGAATTCATATGTATGTATATATGTCATCTACATATTGTTTCGAGTAAATTTGAAAGGATAGATTTTAATAATCGGTCGATACCAATTCACAACAGTTCGCATTTAAAAAATTTCAAAAAAGCTCTTAATTTGTAGAAAGTTATTGAATGCACAATAAGGTAGATATAATATTAATAACAATAAAAAACGATGAATATGAGACAGAAATATGTACAGGATTGAAACAAGATGACTGGCCGATTGCATGGCGCTAAAATATACTGACAACGCACGAGAATACCGATAAGTTAGTGAATCAGCGACAAGTTATGTGTCATTTGATTCACTACTAAATAAAGAAATTATTGAGTTGCTGAAAAGAAAAACTATTTTTTGTTTAGATTTATGTAATCAGATGGAATGAAATCAGTTGTAGATGACAATGACGGAATGAAACGATTTCAATTAAGTTTCCAGCTGCTTACCTAATAATTGGATTACTTCGATGAAGTTTTATATGTACGGCACTATTTCTACTGTTCCTTGTAGTTTTACCGTTTTCTTCGCATTCAGACTCTGGTCGAACAGCATCAATACTAGCGTTCGGTTGGTGTTGTTGTTGATTTGGTGCTGTGCTTCGAACAATCTTCGTAGCAGCTTCGACAAATTTTTGACCACATTTTAACGGTATCTATAGAAAAATAAGTATCAAACGAATAAACTCACAGATATTCATGGAGAAATGCTATTGTAACAGAAGCACTGTACAAAACTTTCCATCATCATGAAACACGTTGTGATAGACATGTGCTCGACACTGACAGTTATTATCAGCATAAAAATTCATTATTGTTGTGCTAGGTAAGATGCAGTGATGAGTGGATGCGTACAGTACGAGTAGGATACGTATTAATCGATAAAATATATTTCTGGGTACCTCTATCAGATAGGTACTTAGCTGCTAACCTTTGATAGTACCATTTGTTGAGTAATATGATTAGCAGAAGGAGAGTGTTGCGCTTGATGAAGAATGCAACAATTGCTGTGTGGTGAAGTAACGCTTGGCTGTGCGTAAAGAGTTTCGTCCGAACAAAATCTGACCAATTTACCACAGTCAGAAAGTCGTGACCGCTCTTGGTGTTCAGAATTCAAAGAAGCACTAAGATCGTTATTATCACTTCGTGTAGGCAATAAGCGTTCCCTTCGCTTCACCGCTTCATATGAATCAATATTCGAGAGACTCTTGAAAGGTTTCGGTGGTAACGGTGGTCTTATTGACGGCCGCCATCTACTGGAACCAACAAATGACGCACCGAATCGCTCTCGTCGTTGGCTACTATTCGTAATATGTCGAAAAGTCTGAAAACTCTAATAGTCGTCGCAATATTGCTGTAAAATTAATGGCAATAATTGTACTTTGAATGACAACACTAATGAATAGAGATAAGGAAGGACAACAATTGTAATGAAAAAAGTAATAGTGCACTGATAAATATGAAAAAAAACCGTCAGCTTATTTGATCAAATCAATGAACCGCTATAAAAGGTATTTGCTAGGGATTATAAAATGAAAATAAGCGCGCGCAGTCGTGCCAGACACACAGCTCACTGTGTTCATCATCACGAATCTGGTAGCAGTTCGTTGATCTAACAGGTATCGCATACTAATAATCATAATTCACAAATATTTGCACATATGCATACATCAATAGATGGACCAATATTAAGGATGGATGGTTGGATTGATTGATTGATATGTTACGTTATATCTATATAATCGACTCTTTCATTATTCTCTATTCTGTTCTAACAAAATCACTGCTTGCACTGCGATGAATCATTCACATTGTATTTCACTGCTAATTCACCATAGCTCAATCAATTCATTTCAATTTTAAATTTCAAGGCTATTGATATGTGTATAAATTCAAATGTATTTAAGCAGTATAATTCTTCTCTCGTTTAATGTTGCATATAAGAACAGCAGAGAAATTACTTGAGGTGGTTCTGACAGATGATTTGTTGACAGCAGCTTGTCGTTGTCTGAAATAAGTTTTCTTTAACACATACACATCATGCATAAATCAACGAATAAATAAACAAATAAATACATGAGTAGATAAATGTGAATGAAAACATGATTATGTTGTGTTAATTGATAAGTGAAGCATTCGTCAACTCCTATATCTCATTTTTTTTCGAATTGAGCCTAAACCCAAGCTCACTTGAAGCGGATAAGGCTGAAAGTTAACGCTAAAACTAACTTACTTTGAAGCAAATTTTCTCTTCTGCTGATTGTGAGACTTTTAAAGCACTTTTTCGAACTAAGTGAACAATTTGCTTGCTTGTCCGCCGAACGAAATGGCAAAAATAATCAAATTCTATCATGACCACCAATTTTATCATTCAAACGTTTCAGAATGGATCATCAAAAATTATGTTTTCATTGATTTTTCAATGTGGTTACATCATCTTACTCTTCAATCATCTTCATCATCCAAATTCTATCCAAGTTAGCCATTTGGGACGTTCAGTATGGAAGATAAAATATGAAGAGCCAAAAAGAAATGCGTCAACAAAACTGAGTCGCATGGATGAATGGCAAACAGTTAGTGTTGAATAGTTCAATGATTGACCGCTGCTTAATACTTGCTTACGCGATTATCCACTACATCCCATCGGTCCCCCTTCCCCCCGCACACACAATAAGAAGTTAATTACAATCGTGTCGAGTCACAATTGTGACAAACTCCTTCTCGTGTCACTTTTAGCTATCATTTAGGAAGATAAATATGAAGCGTTTGAAGCAGTAGTTGTTGGTTGAATGATGAGATATTAAGGAGCAGTGTAAACTTACTCGTTGTTGTTAATGATGTAGAAGCAGTGCACCTCGTCAATTTGTTGGTTGCTGGGGCATCAGCAGTGACCGCAGAAACATATCCAGATGTGGTACTAGTGGTGGCCGTATCGCTTCTAGACGATGAACAAACTGTATGAGAGTGATGCTGCTGCTGCTGCTGCTGCTGCTGCTGCTGCTGCTGCTGCTGCTGACACAGTTGCTTCTTATGTGAGCATGATGACAATGGTAATGATAATGATGAGTCTGATGATGAAGAAAAGCCGTCATCAAAACTAGCACTGCTCCCGCGATTAATGCTGGACGTCATATCACCATCTACAAAGCCATAGTGGCCGAGTAATGGACTAGAGCCTGAGCCTGTGTCTGAACTCAAGCCGACATATGAGCCTGAGCTACCAGCATCATAAACGTTGGCTTGTCTTAGCAATTCGCGATCATGAGCGAAAGTACGTTTCGGCTTAGCTGGGGGATGTTCCATCGGTTGTTGTTTGCTGTTTTTGTTGTTGTTGTTCACTTGTTGAAGTGTAACGGTATCGATAAAGTCTGATTCATTGAGTGAACTTTTCGTTGCAGTCGAATTTATCTTTGCTGCTCTTGTGGTGGGCATTGCACGTGGTTTACACAATGTTTTATTAGATGAAGTTGTGGTCGCCTTTATGGATGATGATGATGATGATGATACAGTGCTGGGGGTGGAATAGTCATCCGATGCATCGCTCGACAATGAAGGAACAACATTCTCTTTCATTTCCACCGAAGAAACATCAGAAGCCAAATCAACACTGTAGTAAGACCATCTTGATGGGGACAAGTGCCTTCCAACTTGTATATTTGTTGCCTTCAGAATAGAAAGAGTATAACTGATGAATATTACACATTTCCACATTTCAAAATTTTCGCATCAAAAATTTGATGTGAACTCAACTTGCACTGGGAATATATTTCAAAATTATAAATTTAACAATTTTTTGAATTAGTTTTAAAAGAATTCTAGTTTTCGTTTTGAAACTTCTGCTGCATCTTGTTCATATCTTAAGAATACACCCTTTTTTTAAATAAGAGATTTCAAACTTGTCGCTTAAAGTATAATTTATGCATCATAAATAATTGATTTTGAAATCTGTCTTTAGCTTTCCAGGCTTACATTCATATTATTGAAGTCCTTTCTACCGAATGATATTAGTTGTTTGTTGCTAGCTGTTCACTATTATCATGGATGCTATTTTACTGATACTATTTTAAGTGAATCGAAAATTTAGAGGAACACAATGAAAAACAATAATTTCCAATTGAATGAATGCGAAAAATCTGAAACGTGCGCCGAAAAATGTAAATTCGATAAATTTCTTCATGATTTATGATGATGATGTAAATAAATGAAGATATATTATGTTGAGGACAGCTGCACAGTGATTTAACTAAAATTATTTCTTTTTTTAATGGAATCATTATTATTCAAATTATTCCAAATAATCAGTTATTATTTCTGCATGCATGCGCACGTCAAAGGGGAGACTTAATTTTATGTTCATTTCATTCAAACGTTCCCAAATGCATTCACGTACACAGTGATCAATTATGTGTTATATTCTTTTGCTATTGTTATCATCGTTATTGTTATCATTACTGTTATTATTACTATTATTTTTATTTCTATTCTATTCTTGTCGTCAATATTTGCGTTTTCTCCGCTACATACGTCGTATTTTTTCTTCATTACCGACCAAAATATTAATCCATTCAGATAAGTTTCAAAGATCAGAAATATTTTATTATATGAGTTGCAATCTCATATCTCGTTTAATCTCTGTTTGAAACGGTGAATTTACCTGTTCATAAATATTCATGCATTCACTCGTCATTTATCCTCACATTCAGCAAAAATATTAGCTACAAGTTTGTTCTGTCACTAAATACTGTGTTAATGTAGTAGCATGTGATAAGAGGATAGATTGATAAGAAAAACATTATCGAATTTGTAAAAGCAACTAAAGGGAGAAGGAAAGAACAGTGAAGCAACACCTCTTTGGACGGGTTTTTGGCTGATGATTTTGACGGGATTTTTGTAAGATTACAAGTCAAATTCATGGCTGATGATGCTTGACCACTTTCTTGGGAAGAAAAAGAAGAAGAAGTAGAAGAAAGTTGTCCCAGTCGTTCAAAGAAAGCTTTTCGTTCAAGAACACTCCAGTTTTGGGAACGGTCTCGATTACGATGGTGATGTTTATCAGCGATTAGACACTTATCACGATTATAACCTTCACAACAATAATAATTTCTCGTGTTCCTTTTACTATTATTCAAATTATCAGTTGTTCTTCTGTTTAATTTTACTCCCGTATCCATTGACTTTTATCATTAATACTATATTATTATAACTTCATCCTTGCATCTGTAATTTTATTCATTATTATTATTTGTTACTAATACAGTTTTACTGCAGTCTGTCATCACTACCTATTTTCAAGTAACTAAATGATATCTGAGGATAAGAACAATAATAACCAATAATACAGATGTTTAAGACTATCTAACGTTCCTACATAAGTAATGCAATACTTAATTGTATAACAGTAATAACACCAATAATAAATATAATGTGAATAGTAGCATCAATAAATGTACATAGTGATAATTCGCGGTGATAGTAGTGATAATAATTGAGTACATAGTGATAATAATAGAAGCAACTGAGAATATCGAATGAAAGTGATCACGATGCAATATATTTATAACCATTACTGAAAAAACTCAAAAAATGCGTATGGTAAATTTAGCGAATGGGCGATGGATAAGTATTGAAATGGAATGAGCCACAAGCGATGTCTCACTTGAAATACACCAGGGACTGAGATGGATGGTCGTAGAAATACACGAGATATCAATTGTGAGGAAAGGATTTGATAAATCTGATAGTTTGAATTGATAAAGTAAGTGCATGAAAGTCGTAAAACTGTGAGAGTGGCCTTTGGCGTGAATCGATAACAGTACGAGTATGAACATGCGTTTAGTGCAAGGAAAATTAAACGACGATAACTGCTTTGGGTGGGAGGATTAAGGAATTTTCGCTTGTTTCTATGAGAAGAATGAGAGAGATGACTGGTTGTTGACATGTCAACACCAATAAAAAAGTGCGTAGCTGGACGTGATAGGTTTTTCGCATTTTTCTGGCGAGAATTCATTAAACACTATATGAAAACAGCAAAATATCGCAATCAAACAATGAACGCATTTTGTTTTTCGAACACAATTGATCAGTTTGTTTTCGTTCTATACATACACATATCTGTCAGTCATCATCACAGATTTTTGATGAATTTTATTTCAAAAACTTCATTGGTTCAAATTCGAATGCTATTCTAATAGCTGATAAAATTCCAAGAATTTAGCTAGCTTCAGATTTAGCTAAAACAATCAATCTTATTGTTCATAACATCTAAAATTATTATTTTTATTCCTCTGCACACACAAAACAAGAAAGATTTTTCATTGTAATCAACGAACGACAATTATCATAGCAATAATCAGCAGTGAACGGGTTTTGAGAGATGTGCGGCAAGGGGGGGGGGAGGTGGAGGGACGTTTTAAAAAGAAGTTGGGCAAGAGGATAAGAAACGATAATCGGTGTCTGATAATACGTTCATCACCAATAATTTTTTCTTCTTCATTTCCATTTTGTTTTTGTTGAAGTGGTTGTTATAGATATGTTATTCATATATCTCTTTGCTCGACTGTATTATCTACCTAGACAAACAACAACGAATGAACAAAGCATTGTACTCGTTCGTTCGTACATTCAAATGCTTTTTTTTTTTCAAAAACTTATCGAGAAAATAAACATGAAAACGAACAAAAAGAGTGCAGTTGATGATGTTGATCTTTGAGGGATATCTGAGAAATTGATGAGCACAACAGCAATAGCAAAAACTATTTGAAGATGATATGTCTGATGGTAGAAATTTATGCTTTTTTGTTATTTGCGAAAACAAAACGCACAGCAAGAGCGTGTTCAATTAGATGGAAAGAAATATGATTGAAAACAATATGTCGCTAAACAGTCGTAATAACAAAATGCTTTTCGCTGACTTTTATCACATTTACTTACTATCATAGCTGATAATTGAAGAGACCATTAATCAGTAATCTTCTTATCCAAATATAATAATCAATCGATCGATTAAACCTATAAACTATCTTCACATATTATTAGTCAATAGCAAGAGCTATTAGCATCTAAGCAAACATATGAGGGAATAAAAATGGATGGAGTCGAATGGCGATTAAAGAGGAGGAATAATCGAAAGTGTTGTAGGAAAGAAGCAATTAAGTATACAGAAGTGAGAAAGAGACGATACTGGTGACACTAGAAATGACACCGTACAAAAGAAATACTGCCCAAGTTGCTCAGAGATGCGAAGCAACCGCCTCAATAGAATAGGTAAATAGAAACGTCAATGTACATTCAATATACGAAATTTAACTACCATATTCACTCAGGTAAATGTGAATAATTGAATCAATCCTATATCAGGCACTACAACAATATAATTACGGATAAAACACACATCCTCCACTTAGTAGATCGTATAGTTAGGGAGGCGGATAAATGCAAGCGTCAACATGTATACACTATGCATAAACGTGATACGATAATAATAGTAATAGTTAAACAGAGCGTCGTCCTCATTTTCGAGCGCGTGTGTTATAGAATGCCTCTTTTCACCTTGCAATCTCCACTTCTCATTCATCGCCTAAAAACACTTTCGTAAACTATCAAGCAAATCAGTCAACTATCCAGCCAATCAATCATCATATGAAATACCAAATTGTTTTCCTGAAAAGTCAAAACTTTACTTTCACCTACCAATTTCGCAAAAGAATTTTGTCTACGATAGAATATTACTGAATTTCTCACAAAAAAGACATAATTATTTACGAATAAATAGATTTCACACAATAATAGCTGAGTTTGTCGTCGATGCGATGAATGTTTGTTATTTTGAATGGCTAATAACTGGAAAATTAATAACTGTAGGAGATCGATCAATTTTTGGATGAAAATTTTTGTACATGGGATGCTTGATCTTCAGATGTATATGCATAGCTATTAAAATACTTTTTTTACATTGACAAGAAGAACAAGCTGTAGGCAATAGAGTTAATGGATACGAAGAGTTTTACGAAGTGGTCGAGGATGGGATGTTGGACGGTTGGATGTGTTATTTGAATGATTTAATGAACTTGTTCATTGAATATGAGACGAAGGACAAGAAAGAATTTTGGAAAGATAAAATGAAAACGCTCATTTCATGTTTCGAAAGCGAGTGCATGAACGAGGAAAGGCAACAAGACGGCATCAATGACGCCTTAAACTGTTCATGAACAAAGAAGCTGAATTATCGATAGACATATCCATTCATCTAGGCATAAATTCTCCTATTCAATAACCTCATCCCTTTCTAAGCTCAACCATCAAGCGCTATTCAATCGCATCGCTTTCATGGATTTTCGTTTAGTTGGTATCATATATCATCAACGTCATCATAATCCCCAAATGACAAACATCTATAGTTGTTTCATTCATAACATCTACGAACGCCTCAAATGTAAATTGATGAAAATGCATCTGAAGTGAATGCCATTAGTGGTCATCCTCTTATTGATCGCCCTCATATTCCACCATTCCATTAGCCGTTTTATCATTTCGTCTGGTTAGTCAACCGACGTTTTTTGCATCACGGCTATCGCCGAAACTGCAACTGGATTGTACTCTTCTGTCCTTTTACAGATCAACATTCGTCCAATAACTAACTGCTTATAGCGATGTTGCCCTGCTTTTACGACAACAACTGCAATAATCCATTCAAGTTGTCCTTGTTTACATAGCTACCCAAAGGGACAATGGCAGCAGCAGTAACGTTAGCAGGAAGACCGGGAGCTCAAAAAAAACTTTTCGAACTCTTCACATTCTTCTAATTATTATTTGTTCTGATTTTATTCATTTTTTAATCTGCTCAAAACACCAACAGTAACAATAACAACACTTCAACTAAACTGATCACGATCACACTGAATTGGTTTATCATTGAATTTTTTCCCCACACTTTTAGACTCATCTGAAAAAATGAAGTATTTCATTAGCATATTTGTACGTAAGTTGGATAATATCAAAAACATTCATAGCACACAATAACTCAACCAAAAAGTGGACATACTGTAATCAAGTTTCTGATGGCACTCAAAAGGTTTTTTGCAAAAAATTTTCCTCGACTACCATAATTTTAATATCAGTCTTAGAAATACTATTCTGTGAATAAGCATATTTATGTATGCGATTATCATGAAAACATTAACGCTAAGTGTATATTTGGTTCTTGCGGAAATTCATAAATCAGTTAATCTTTCTTTATAAGTAGCAGCAGAGTTTTTTAATATGCTTTGATGAGGGCATTAAAATCGAGAATATAGATGGATGCATTTTTATGAGATCTCGATAAAAACCATGTTTACATTAAATGCGAATGTTTTACACGAGTTGTGTGATATGCATCGCCTATCTTTTTGATACGAAATTTTTGAAACACTTTTATGAATGAAATTACTGCCTATGATTAGTAGGCACAAAGTGTTGCATCATTGGTGCATGACTGTTCAGTGCCTTCTAATCGAGCAAATTTTTTCATTTCTCAGTCACCACTGCTCGTCAACAGATGTGCATAATTACTCATACTATTTTGATAATTATGCCCATCTTCAGATCAGTTGTGTACCCGAGCTTGTTGAGCAACATCATAATATTATTTGTATTATATTTGTTGTTAAATGAAAATCCTCCATTCGAGAATCTCAAATCCATATATCCTGATATTGAATATACGAATAAATGGTTTGCAGCCACTTCTAAGCATTTGATTTTCAGTAGATCAGTATGGCGATGTTAAGAACACCCATGCTTTGGGATACATCATCTTCAGAACATCTTTGCGTTCAGTTTTGATGGCCAATCACATAACTTTTCTGTCCTTCAGATAAATTCATAGGAAAATTACCCACACACAGAGAGACTGTTTGCATACGTATGTCAGCGATGGGCAATTTCCAGAAGATATAATTGAATTTTTAAAAAAATTTCTCCATTATGAAAATACGAAGAGTACCCTTTCAAGCCATTTGTACACTCTTGTTGGTAGACAGCCTCATCGTGTTCATTTGAAAATTCCACTTGTTAGTTTAATAGCTATTCATTGCACAATCATGCAACTGGTGTTTGCTCATTGCAGTAATTGTTTCTGTTGATGTTGGATAGAGTTTTATTTATCAATCAGTCGTTCTTGCCAGCTGTACTCACTGAATGAATTGATAATGTGAGACGTCACAAAATTAGTTTCAGCTTTTGCAGATCTCTAATTAGAACAAACAAACACAAATAACAATAGTAATTTACACGCAGACCGCAGTTGAAATAGCCCCTAAACGAAAGCTGACTAGATTTGACAAGTGAAAGTAATAATGTGGAATATGAAAGCGTTGAACAGTAGTCTTCTAATGATTTTCAAAGATTGCCTTACAAATGTACATTTTAACGATATCACTTTCACGCTCTGTCAAATACCTGCAAATCAATCCGCATGTCAATTACTTCAGGTTTGTTGCCTGCCATTTATCTATAATCATATTGTATTCATCTCTATTTTTCGTGACGAATTGCCGAAACTTTTTGGTAAATATTAATGACTGATCGATGTGTGATCATCAATGATCAGTACGAAGTATGATTATCACGCAAGGAGTGAGTGATCTCCTCTTGATGAAATATTGAGTCAGTTCATTTAAAACCAACTTTGGTCTTTAACTGACTTCAAACTTTGGTCGAAATTTTAAAAATTTCGAAAAAAATCTTGCCACTTCTCCGCGGTTTTTAATTCATATTGAAATCTTGGACAGTACTGAGACAATGCTTTCCAATGTACATGCTCCCCTTTCTTTCTGTCAATTAGGTGTTTTATAAGAACTCTTCGAATAGTTGAAATTGACGAATATTTTTCAGTTTCAATCCCCTTTATCAACAATAGACTGTAAAATTTTTGGTTTTGAGAAAAATTCGGTGTACATCAATCGGTGAATGAAGCGATGATAAGAAACTAGCATTTTTCGTGATATTTTAACTCCGTCCATCCATTTATCCATCCAGTTGTTTTCACGTAAACTTGACTTGACTGATGAATTTCAGCAAGTTCATTTTGTGCGTGAGGTACGCAATATTTTGATCTCGATCCCATTCTCATTATCCTTATTAGCTGCACTCTTCAATGGAACTTTCGGCGTCTTAACGTTGCATTTTTATATGAGATGCAAACGTTTGTAAGTTGTTTGATCGCTTTTTTTCTGTTTGTTTCATAAATAATAATATTATCTTCTATTAGTATTATTTTGCTGAATAAAGAAATAACGAATTTTTAGTGTTGATCATCATCATGCGTTACTCTTAAGTGAAACGATAAGCGCTCTGCTGCATCAACTTCTACTGTATTGTTCACTGATCGCAATGAGCTTCAATTCCGAATTTGGCTATACCTCAACGGCCGCTTTCTTTTCAATAGCTTTGGCCACCTTATTTGTTCATTCAGGTTATTTTTAATGATTCGTAAAGTAAATTTATATGCCGTGATTCCTCGAGTAAAAATTCAGAAGGATGTGATATTTTGACGTTTTTAAGCAGAGGTGCCATCTAATTGCAGATTTGAGCAGATTGCGCAAGATGTTTTCATATTACAGGTTCTTATTTTGCAAATACCTCTCTATTATTTTTGGCAATTGTTCGGCCATTGAAATATCGTAGTCCTTTAACAGCGCGACAGTCCATTCGTCTTTTAACAGTTATTTGGTTATCGTCGAGTCTTATTGCGGTTGGTTCATTCGTATTGAAATTATTATCATCAGTTTTGTTGTTGCTAAATAGATGTGACACTGACAAATCAGAGGCGACCTTTCGGCTTATATTTCAGACCTGTATGGGCCTATCTGCGGCCGCATTATTTTATCCGCAGTCTACATCAATTAAGTGTTTGCTGGATCGTTGTAAATGGCCACTTGGCTTTATGATTGTTTGCGTATTTGCGATATTCTATGTGGTCGTTATCCTGCTTTATCTCATCATGATATGGCACCTCAATAAACGACGTCATAATGACATGCAAAAGCAGGTTAGCACTTCAGGTCGTATTGGTGCGACAGCAGTTTATTCGTTCACTTTGGAATAATTCGTGCATAACAATCACAGGATTGTAACAACCAAGTTTTGTGGGAAAGTAATGTTCGTGCAATGAAGCGGTTAACATTGCAACTGATTGCGTTCACACTTTCGGGTGCACCCATTCTTGGTGTGTCTGCATTTACGCTACTTAATTTGGATAGGATCAAATTGCTTGGTATGCAGTGAACATTCGATAGTTTGCTTTTATCTGCGATTATTATTCATTCGGAATTTAGCCGTAGGCGTTTCTTGTTTTGCATTGATAGCCGCCGGGTAGGTGGGGGACGGGTGGTAACTATTTGTCTAGAGATGTTGTAGTGTTGTTGTTTATTTTATTGTGCTGCTTTGTTTTGTTCTTAAATGAGTGATTCCATTCAGAATGATATAGCAACAGTAATAATTACAACGATAATATGAGAAGATGACTTTGTAATCAACTAAGTGATCAACTTAGTTGAATTATAAGTGAATATTTTGTTGTTCAAAACATATTGAAAGAATACTGGTGAGAATTAATCAAGATTGGTACTTGATTGCTGTTGAGGATTGGAAAGTTCGTCACCGTGTGCATTCTTCCTCAAATGCGATCTGTTCGCGCAAGCTGAGCGATTGGTTTGTGTGAACGTTTCGGCGTGCATCTTACCGATGATCATTGTACCGCTGATCAATTGCTATGTGGATGGGCACACTCGCGAGGTTTTACAACATAAATTCGGCTATGCTTCAACAAAAACCAACCATACCAATATCTGCTCAGAGCATCGCGTTTGTAGTGCTCGTTCTCCCACATGAAACTGCATCATTATTCGCTCAAAACTACCGACACCTTTATATCCATCTATCCATTCGTCCATCCAACCCAGCCGGCTTCTACAACGAACGAATGAATGAACGACGATAGAAAAGAAGAGATCACCACTTTTGAATAGCTCTTTTAATAGTACAAATAATCATAACAAGAATATTGTTATTGTGATTAACAGATATGTTGAATAATGCATCTATAAGTGATTATTCAAGGTACACATCCAATGATCTGCAATGTGCTCTGCAATAACTGATTCGTTTCATAGTGAAGTTTTATCCTTTTTTTTGTACTTGCGTTCACATCATAATAGTAATTAATTGGTGTTTAGGTAGCGGTTGATATATGTGGTGTTGTTTTTGCTTGGTAACTAGTGAATAATGTTAGCCAAATGAATGTGGTTGGTGTTCTTTGCATGCAGCTTGTTCTCATTCTCAACGAAACCATGTTTGGGTTCGTTTTTTGAAAAGGCTGAGAAGTCTGTTAATAGCGAGTGGAATTTCTCGGGGGAAATGCAATCGAGGATGCAAACACCTGACATTGACTTTATCAAGTTACCGAACGGACTATTCGACTTTGGACTTGTTGAAGCCATTGGGGGAGTTACATTAGTTGCAAGTGTTTGAATGTTGAGAGTGCCTTTGTTCAGTGTTTTTTTCATCATCACAAATTTCATCTTTATCAACAAAACGATATCACCGCGTCAGGACGTAGTAAAAACAAAACTGATTAAGCAGCTAAATGTTTTATTGCTAAAATAAAAAGACATGCAAAAATGCAATTTACGATGTATCTTAACAAGTAAAAGCCAAGCACATAAGTGTATAACACGGAAAGCAATGTTTTATTTTGAGAAGAGGAGGAAATTTAGTTAAGATGTAAATGAGATGAATTCGGGAAAACAAAAAAACAAAACTAAACGAATGGCGGTGTAAATGACAATATGAATGAAATCGATGTATCTAGGAAAGCATTGAATGAATGATTTCTTCAAGCAGAACGATCGAAATTCTCGAATGAAGCGATTAATATAATGAAACTGAATGAGAAACAGAGCAAGTTCAAACTGAGAATGATGTTGACTGATAATTATGCAACAGTTGACCGCTTCAGATGACCACCTTTAATATTTGTTTTGATTTAACGCAAATAAACTGATAAAAAGGTCAAGGTTCTTATATCATTAAAGTAAAAAAAAAAATTACTCTAATGATATAAAAACAGAGAGAGGAAGTAGAGGATGTGTATGCACACACCTTCCAAAATAGACGATGCAAATTGGCTGCTACGGTAATCGAGTTGTTCAGTTGAACTTATCAGTCGATAGAACATGGATGATGACAAGGTATGTGAAATGTGAGGTTTTCAATGAGGAAACGGGATATTCTGAAAGATCATGCATTTGAAAGGCGAACATTTCGAGGCTGCTGCGCACATACAAACGAACACTAATCACAATAATATGTGGCAACAATAATAATGGCATTACTGACAGTGATAATAATGACATAAGCTCGTTTAAAATGTGCAGTTAAAATTGAAATCATCAGAAGTAAAATCAGTTAACAGTCATTAACTAGCATAAATGAACGCGATGAGAAAAATCAGATCAAAGGGACATGAAATAAATGAATGTATACGAGGAATCGATGAACATGGAGAAGCAATCGTTGTGTGAATTTTTAAATTCAGAAACTCGAAGACGATGATCCAGAAACTGGAATTATCACAAAAAAATGTTTCTTATTGCGTTTGAATGTTTTAGAGCAGATAAATGAAATAAAGTAGTACAATAACGGTTATTGTTGCTGTTTCTATTGCTGATGATCCACTATTGTTGTTCACGTAGAGCTCTGGCCATACGCCTAAGCCAAAATGGAACAACTGGTCGAACAGGCCGTATACGACGACGTCCTCCTCGCTTGTGGACGGCACCTTGGAAACGCGCTCCATTCCCCGAATTGCGATTGTGGTTATTCGATGCTAAGCTCATCAGTCCTGAAAAATCACTTTCGTTCCTCTAACCGATTGCTGCTCCCATTTAAACAGATAGGCCTGATAGCGTAATGAACAAATGAAGCTATCAATTATAATTTTCATGTGGCTGACAGATTTTCAAGAAAACTTTTATTGTAGATTTCAAGAAGATTACTAGATCGAATTTGAAAATAGGAAAAGTTGAGAGAAAGAAGTAAATAGAAGCAACCTCCAATATTGTTAAAACTGCTGAAAAAAACCGAAGGATCCGGAGCCGGTATAGCGAAAACTGAGCTCGATGAAATAGCAACTACGATCAAAAGCACGAGGGTGAATTTCATATTTCTTCTGCAATTCAACAAAAAATTAACCGTTTTCAATTGGAATTTCAAAGTTTCTCAGAAAATATGCACGTATATATATAAATTCTCGTCTGTTGCATGTGTAAAGTTTGGTCAAACATCAGAAGAATTAGGATCAGTTCGCTTCTGACTGATGTTGACGCATGCCATTAATACCACTCTACCAATGACAATTACCATTTTCATTACTAATACTGATAACAATATATGAGTGTTACTAGTTGATCAACAAAACCAACAGTAACTGTAATCATAACGATACTCTTACTATAATGGATCAACCAGTCGTATGTATGTGTTCATCAAGAAAACGCCCAGCTCAAAAACATGCTGAATATGCTCACCATCATAATCAAATCAAAAGCTAATCAGTAATCATTTGTTGAGTCAAATTCGGTGAATGAGAAAGTTGCTTAATTGGCTAGAAAACAATTGAACAAGTCTATGGCAGATCACTCATGTTCAATCAAATGAATCACTTTAGGATCACCTTATTACTGGCCTAGTACCCTTCCAACGAAAGATCCCTTAGTTTGGAGAAACCGAATGAAGCGAACAAGAAAACAACCGTTCACATTATTAACAGGAATGAATATAAATTTGATGATTCAAAATGAACATCTTTTATATGAAGCTTTTACACTTGTTCTCTAACTGAATGAATGAACAACAAACACAGTTTCATTGATGCATTGAACAATAATGCATGCCCACATCCTTATGAACAAGAAGCAATCTTCTCATAACAAGGTCATCGAAAAACATACGTGTAACCGGAAGAAACTCCTTACATAATTGGATGAATAGCATTTATTTATTTATTCGTTCACCGAATTATTTATTTCTTCATTTATATGTACCATTTCTGTAGTATATTTTTACATTCTTAGATACTCGCTGATGATTGTTTTACCTTTGCCATTCATTGTTTACAAGTAATGTCGTAGATTTTTCGTTCAGTTTCAGTGTGATGAATTATTCTGATCTCAAAGTGATCATCATTCAGCACTGTGATTCGATGCAGTGCGATTATTAACCCTTACAAAAAAAAAACAATTTCGCTAAAAATCATTCGCAATGGCGAATTTAGTGGTTGTTCGAAAAAAAAGATAACTGAAAAGGAGATGAAGGGGCTATTTGTTGGATGGATGGGATCGAGGGATAAGAGAGCAAGTGAGCGGTTATTGGAGAAAATTAAAGATCAGTTATGGTGGTTGTTGAATGGGTTGTTGAGGTATGTTAGTGGGTAGAAAGGTGAATGGATGAATGATAATGGTGAACGTAAAATTGTTAAATTGTGTCTCAAAAAGCTTGATGAGGAGGTAAATTTATAAGTTGAATTGATGTTTGGTAGATGATTTTGAATTGTTAAGGTGTTATTAATAATAGAATTGATGATTTGTGAAGTGTGCTCATTGCTTCTTCATATAAGATGATCATTGCTTCAACTGATGTGAGATCCTCTTTCGATTATTTCAGTCTCTGTTGTTGCAGAATCCACTCATTTCTGTTGTTGCAGAATCCACTCATTCAAATTCACTTATTTCAAGTATATGTTTAAGATGCAACATTTATTTACTGTACACTTTTATTATTATTGTTGTTATTTATTATTATTATTACTATTATTATTATCATTATTATTATTAACATTAGATCAGTGAATAGGTGAATGTGTGTATATTCATACAAATAGCTATTCAATCAAATTATCAATTATCACTTTCTGCTACGTAATTGTAGTGAGCATAATTTCTGGTTTTCTTGCATTTATCAGCACCACAACGACCATCAGTACCAAATCATAACACATTCTAATTGCATGCATTTGTTTATTTGATTTGCTGTTGAATAATAATGCAACAAAACTCTTTTTTATTATCGTTCGAATGCAACTCAAATATTATCATAATCATCAGTGATGATTGAATTATTAAATGGGTGAATATAAACTGATCAAATTGCATCATCAAATCAAATCAACCAATAAATTACTACGACATTTCCAATAATCAGGTTTGTGACGAACGATGAATTGAAAATTGCATAAGAGCGAGTGATAATAATCTTAAAAATAATACTAAAAATTAAAAATAATATCAACAAGTGATAATAATATTAAATACTAAAAGTAACGAAAAGGCAATAGTAATATCTATTGGACAGCAGAAACGTCGGAAGAAGAGAACTTAAAAATATTCATCAGATAATTTCATCATTGATGATCAGTTCAACGATCACTGAAAATGCACAAACTGCGGTCAATCATTGTAAATAGGTTGGTTGAACATTGTAAAATTCCAATGTTCAACGGGATTGAGACATGAACATGCACAGTTGAACTGATGCCGACTCTTGCAATAGAGATCGTATGTTCGACTCGATATTTCAAATCCAGCGATTTTATTTCATCCTATTCGTCTCAACTAATTTAGAATTACGAAGTAACTGTCCTGTCAAAACCAACCATTTGGTAACGATGTCCAAAATTTAGCTGATATATGAGTGAATTTAAAACGATTGATCGCATTAACAGCACAGATGTATGCATAATGTTCACTCTTAGTAAGCATACCGGACTGATTAATTAACTGATTGATTGATTAATTAATTGATTGATTGATTGATTGATTGATTGATTGATTGACTGACTGACTGACTGACTGACTGACTGACTGACTGATCATTATTTATGAAGATACACCAACGACCACACACCATACCTTACAGTAATTCATACAACCATATCAATGCGATGCAGCTATCAATTATGTTATTAATCATACATACACATAAACGAATAATTAATTCATTCTAATGTCTGTCATCATCACTGTAACATTATTATTCTGAATAATGACAATAATGTAAATAACGTTTTCAATTGATCAAGATTACTGTTGTTGCTGATGCGTTACATACACACACATGTAACTCACTTCTTGTGCATTCATTTATGTAACACGTAAAGACCCGGAATGTATCTCATTAAAAATCGTGCTTCCTGCACTACTCTTTTTGCATGATTTAATGAATGAACCAACAACAGCGGACGGCAATCTGCAACCATACGAAAAAACCCGCAGAACATTACAGCTGAAAAGCGAATTTCTTTTGGTAAGTTCTAAAAATTTTAGCGCCCATAAGCTAGCCGAGGCTTTTAATGACCAATTTTGTTCGCGAAAAATCTTTTCAAGATGAACGCTCTTTAGAGGGTCAACTTTGTACACTGATATCTCATTGTCAGCTAGATGATGGACTTGTTAACTGCGAATTTCATAAATCATAGGACTAGATCTATTCTCACTCCGCACTGAACGGCCTGGTTTGCGATCACTCCTAGCCACTAGTATATATCGTCTCAAAAGTGGTATTTTTTAAGCATCACGACCCGGGGTTTGAGAAATTTCAAATTTGAAAAAAATTTCTCGAATGCCCAATTTTGATTTAATTTGATAGAAGACTTTATTTCTGCCAACTGCTGTCATATTCTTAGTAGGCGGCCATATTTTTAGCTCACCGCAGAAAGGAACCACATATAGTGTTGTTTAGAAATTAAAATTTTCAAAAGATTTTCTGGTAAAAGCCGAGGTTCATGTTGAACTGTTAACTAGGATTATCAACGTCCTTAATATTTTATATGAGATGTGGAAATCTTTTGTGAAAATTCAAACCCTTATATGTTGAGATTAACCATTTATTGATTACGTTTACTTGTTCATTCCGAGTTTATCGATCATTCGATACTTTTCTGCTCAATTCATTTGATGAAGTGAATAGAAAAGTATCGAATGTTAGTGATTTCAATGATGATTTGCTGTTATCAGGTCTGAGACAAAATTTACTTTCATCAGGTATTTTAGCAGGTTCGTGAGCTCAAATTATCTCATGATGAGGTTTTTATCGGAGTATCAAGTCAACATTAACAATGTGACGCTTCTCGAGTATATATTACTTTGGAAGGTGTTATTACAGGTATTATGCTGTAGTTATATGCAATTGAAGCGCTAAGTTCTGGTGGCATATTAGACGAATTGATACTGTTCGAATGTGATTGCATTGTTTGTGTTTGCGTGTTGATCAATACAGAAATATATCAATTTAACGAGACTGATTCTTTTTTTCATACATCTGACGATGAATATATAGTAAATGATCACTGTCGTTACACTGGTACTTCTACAAAATCAGTTATCCATGCAATACTGAATATAGTTAATATGATATGATATGGGTGAAATAGAACGTTTCCAATTGAACGTATTTGCTAGTTGTGCAATTCTCAGGTAGCCAGGCATCCGTGAAATCTTCATGAAATGGCTCCAAAGATTACCCGATGAGAAAAATAAAGCAAATATGCATTAGTATTTGCATTCAAATGCTCAAGCTTCGACAGCTAACCTAGGCTGAGTTTATGAGAGTTTCAATTCTGGAGATTCTCGAAAAAAAGTTGCATGAGTTATCATATTCGAGAGAAAGCTTCTGTAGAGTATTATTCAGCGTTTTATTACGAGGCCCGGCCTGGTGGTGGCTGCGAACATACGTCTAAAATGCTTTCGAAATCTCCACATTTTGGACCGAACACATGACAAAAATAATGTACACACTCACTAGAATTTACATTCAAAAGCGAAGATCTCGATAGTTTGTGGTCAACAAATTTGTGCAAAATACTTTAACCCATATATCAGTTTGAACAAATATATGAGATTTTGCATAGGATGAAAAAGATTTGCTGAAAAAATTTTTTGAATTGCAAAAGAAAATGTTTTGGAACTGTAATTTTCACTGTTTCAGAACCGACAAACACCGTTTTGGAATGGTTTCGTAAAGTCTGAAAATTTACAAATAATTCTTGACGAAACTTTTCCTTAAACTGGATTGGCAGAAATTAATTTTAGCATTCGTTTGTACGTATCATCTTGGACATAACAATGAACATTACGAATTCACAATGAACACAATGATCGCGTTATTACGACGTTCTTGAGTTCAGTAACAATAAGATAAATCAGAGGAAATTTCAAGCACTTCAAAGAAACTGAATCCGTCTCGCGGACTGTAGTGTTCCAGCTGCCCACGGTGCGCATTCCGTTGTCGTCAAATAGCTTTTATGCAATATGGCATTATTTCTTGATAAGACGTGCGTATACGGCGGCAAATATGGCCGGAACCAACTGAATGAATTATCAAATGAAAAAATGTTATCCTAGATGAGCCGACAACAAAAAAAGTCATGTACTTCGTTAAAAAAAACCAAAACAAAATTCATAAAAAAACAAAGAATTAACCATTGCCAACGATGAAATAACGGAAGTCCACGCTGCTATATGCATAACATAGAGAAGGTCACTTCTCAACGGCATGTAACACGTATTCGTGTGTACAACGTTTGTATCAAACGCTTCAGAGGCATTGAAGTTCATACATTTTTCCGTTTCCACACCATTAACACAACTGAACTGGTGAGAAAATTTTGAAAATTCTCAGTGAAGAAAACAACAAATCTTTGTTGAAAAGAGTATTTTCTCTTCACTTCATGCTGCAACCATATAGCTACTATTGTTATTATTGTTAATATAAGTATTCTGGTCGTCTCCATCGTATTTATTATAATTTAAACTAAGTGCTCTTGCTGAATATGCATGAGTGGACGACGGTTGTGGAATGACTGAACAAATACCTTCCTTAGAGATGAGGTAAGATAATTTATAAATCAACTGCAGACGTGAATGATCAGTATCAGTCAGCTAAGTGCCAGCTGCCATATGGTTGATCGCCATCTCCTTATCGTTCACGTGCACACTTAAGAAATCAACAAATGCGTGATTACCATGATGCAGGTAGTTTCTGTTTTGGTTCCTTTTGATGCATATACCACTTTGAAGTAGGCCATATTCTCAAGTCATTAGTACCATTAACACCACAGCAATTGAAATTCGTTTGCAGCTCATCCCATGCGTTCGTTATGCCGTCCATTTCGGGTGTTCCGTACAATTCGCGTAACGATGTTAACATTTTCAAATGCAACGGTATCTGATGTTGGAGTTGATGTCGAAATACAAAACCCATAACACCACCAATGAAAAGCATCACAAAGATTACAAAACTGGCCGTTGCATACTGAAAAGAAAATCAATTCAAATCGAATTTCAACAAAAATTTCATGCTATCCACACATCATTTGCAAATTAAAATATAACACCAAGAGAATCTTTTTCCACTCATTCTTTCAGATTTAATGATGGATGGCGTAAAGCACTGAAGAATTGCAAATTCGGCAGAGTAAAGCGTAAGGATGCATGCGACTGACTCCTAAATAGAATGAAATTGAAATTTATCTTGATATGTACACATGCACTTACAAACGCATAAGTATTAACGTGTGATGATATAAAATGAGATATGAAATTTTGAATTCTTTTAAAAGTAATCACTAAAAGCAGCAACAAGATAACAACAACAAAAATAATAAATATACCGAATAGATCATACAACGAAGTTCCTTATTGATCGCATATATGGATACTGCAGCATTGATGAATGCGAATATCGATATCACTATCATTATTCGTGACACGTCCACGTATAAGCTAGGCTCTAGCAATGGTGCATACTGTGAACGGGTCCTCACCAACCAACATCCGTACACAAATACGATCACTGATAATAACTACAACTCTAGTTCATTATAGCATATCATTACTGTAATTGTTGCTATTATGATAAATAATATCGCTTACAACTGAGAGGAGATTTGTTGCGAAAAAGCATAATCGTATTGTACGACCAATTGCTCCGTATGCGGACCATCTTCCAAAAGACCCCATTTTTAGTCAATACACATACGGAAAGATCGATGTATCTTAAACAAATAACTTCATCATTACTGATAAATCTTTCAATATCAATAATAATAATAACGATCGTTACAATAAAGAATAACAATAGCAATAATAGATAACAGTAATGAAATTCATTATTATCACTTTAAAAACATGGACGTGATCCACAATTATGACGAAAAATACGATAACGTAATAATCAAACATTTTTGATATTTACAACATTAATCCATATATGACGAACACATGAAAACGTTCAAAAAATCTTGGCATAATGATGAAACTAATGTTGCAATTTTTAAAAATAAAATTAACATAAATTACGAAAGAGTATTTGGAATAATGTTAGGACAGGAAGAGAATGTAAGCAATTATTGAGGCATACGATAAGAATCTTTGCACATCTCTCACATATGTTCATAAAATGAATATATCATATCTACAATTTTCACTAGACGTTTTCACAATGATAACAAGCAGAGCAGTACTTGTGTTTAAACAAACCAATAAATCAATTATTATTATTAAAAGTTATGATTATGAGCAAGAGCAGTCAAGGTTATATGCGATAAATACCACTCTTCTTCATATCTATACATAAAAGTGTTTTAAGATGATTCATTCATCGATCGATTTCTATACGATTCAGTTGATTTAAGAAAACAAGTTCTGAGATTTTATTCATCGAATTTCTTCAAAACCGTCAATTTTATTATACTTGATATTGCTGTTATTATTATTACCATTATTTGCAGTTTTGTGATTAAGACTGCTTGTATTATTTGTAACAAAAATAATTATAACAATATGAATACTAACACCGATGTGAACATTTTTTTCTAATTTATTCTGGTTTCGTAAGTTCGTGAACATTAATGCTAAATGCAATGAATAATCTAAGCATAACTGATTAGCTCTGATTTAGAAACAAATACGAACTTATGAAAACATAATAAATTGGAAAAAAAGTACAACAAAATAAGCGAGGTAACAAAAAAAGTACAAAATAAGAGGAAACGAAATTGTTCTGTATTTGTAGAATTTTTGCAAAATATTCTGGAAATGTTGCAGCTGCTTGAATTGCAAAGAAACGCACATCCACTTGGTATAAACGTATATGAATGGCTTAGGCTTAGACTACCGTCTACAAAGAACGTAGAATAATAGAAACTTGGATTCTTTATTGATGGTATAAGGAGAAGGAGCGAACAGAGACCGTTCATCGATGAACGAACGAACAAAACAACAATGCAAAGAAATGATTCGGGCAAAATAATAACTTGAAAAGTTGATTTGCAATGAAATGAAAACAATTTAGCGAATGTTCTTTCATTCAGTGCTTCGTTGCAAGTTGCTCTCAGTGAAATCGGTACGTAATGAGAGGAGAATGAGAACTTGAAAATATTTTTCTTCAACATTTTTGAAGTCTCAAAAAGAAAAAAGCATAAAGGTTGATGAAGAAGAATGAAGTTCGTAAAAGCTGGTTCTTTCATATTGTTATTTTCTTATAAGTTACTACAGCACATTTATGAATTAAAAGAAATGACAAAATATTATAAAACAAAAAAATTTTCAACAATAACAAAAAACAAAAGATCTTTGTCATTTTCGATTATATTCATAAAATAAATTGCCCTTTCCCCTTCTTCTTAAAACATAAAATTTCTCTAAATCTTCACTTTTCCACAACAACAAAAACGAATTGGTTTTTTCTTCAGAACAATAAGAAGATTCGGATGAATAAACAAATTTGGTGTTGTTTATCATCGAATTGTTTATAAAAGAATCACAATGAAGAACAAACGGCTGATCTCAGCCAAGTCACACAGCGCAATATAAAAGACACTCGCTCATACACTTTTCACCTTCACCCACTCATCACAACAGCAAAATGATAAATAAGTCATTCGTACAACTCTTCATGCGCACCACCATCACTACCACTTTCATGGGTGATGCACTTTATGATGTTGTGCGAGCTAAAGCATCAAAATTCAAATTAACCACTTATCACAATTTTTTCCTAAACAACTAACGTGCACGAATAGAAAGAAGTATCTAGAGATGACACTATTGTGTTAATGCAAATGAATTATTACAATTGAACGTTTTATCAGTAAATTGCATCAGTATTAAGATTAGAATATAAAATCATTGCGCTGTGAATAACAATGTAACATGAGTATAACAATATCGAAAAAATACTCAAATATTAACAATACAAACATAATTATGCACATTGTCAGACATAATTATACAATTAATCGTATCCAGCAATGATAGGAATATCCAGCAGTAAAGGTTGATAAGAATAATACTTTTGCAGGTTTTATGAGGCACAATTGGAGGAGCTGAACATCTTGAACACAATACAATGGAATAGTGTAAATATCTGACTGATAAACAATATGAAAGGTTCATGAAATCATCAGAGACGTCCTGTGGTTCGCTTCCAAGAACATCCGAAGCAATTCATTAGTCGCTTCTCATCAGGCGCAAATATTAACCTGGAATAAATAATAGACAATGAAATGTGATAATAATTTCAACAACAATGAAACGAACCTGAACAGGAAACATCCAAATAATGATCCAATAATGGGTCCAAGCCAGAAAACGTAATGATTCAAAAATGGCGAATAGTCGCTTTGTAAAATTGAAAAAACGGCCAAGCCAAATGGCAGCAAAGGATTCCATGAAACAGTTGATAGTAACAAACTGAAAACGTCTAAAATAAACAAACAATCGCATATAAACACTAACAAGCATTTCACAATGAATTCTTTTTCATTGTATTTCAAACAGTGCATTCACTATCACTACTGCTATACCATGTGTGCCCATACAAGAAGACTATTATTATTATTATTATTATTATTGTTTAATGTTATGATTTATATTATCAGTTCACCTAAGAAAAGATGAGAGAAAAACGGATGCAAATATTGGCAATGGGTTCGATGAGACACGTCCAATAGCAGTTAGTCCAACTCCAAATTTAGTTGATGTTACCAATTGGCTCATCACTACTAGCAGACTACCGATGAACTGAATAAGCACCTATAAATAATAACAACAACAATAGCAATAATGAAAAGTTATCTTGGAATGAAGGCATTCGATTATAACAAATCATATCATGAAACAAGAACAAAAGGAATTTGAATTGATATTTCGCACCAAACGAAATGCCAGTCGTGTGCGATCACCGTCAATATCGTACAAAATTTGTATTGTTCCAACATCTGAGCTGGATTTGAGTAGCTAAAATTTTGTTCATTAACAATAATTATGATGAATATGGTCATAACAGTGATGATAATACATATCGATAAGAATAATCGCATTCATAACATCAATCACAAATATTTGTGAATGATTGACTCATTATTATGCTTGCACATTTGAAAAGTGAATTTAGAAACAATACAACAACATAACTTATCAAATAAAAACAACAAAATTCACTGTGATTAGCAAAAATCAAACAAACAATAACAAAACAACTCGAATAACAAAACAAACTAACACTGAAAATGGTAACTGATAGAACTGATGCGGATAGCTGCATTAATACGAGCACGATGCAAAGTGGCCATGCCGTCGACAGCGAAAACAATTGCGCGATTGTGATAAATGGAGAAAGATGAACTCTAAAATTGAAAAGCTGTTGAACTGTCAATAACTTACATCGAATTACAAATCAAATGCTTAATGTTATCATCAATCAAAATCAAATTATTCATTTTCATAACCTCAAATTCAATCTAATAAATTCACTCGGATGAGCATGCTTATTGCTGGATGAACAGCAGTAATATGAACACCACTTATAAAACCATCAACAATAACAAGCATGAATTGACATGAATTCACGAAAAATCTTAATTTCATTACTTCCAAGAAACGTCTGTCAACCTTGTTCTGCCAATCGCCACCTACCCAATTACCACAAAAATAATTGCTACCCTCACCGTTCACCTAAAACATCATCCACTGACGCGTTCCCCTACCCCCATTCACGAACCACAACAACAAAAATAACTGAAAGTACGAATAAAGGAACAAAAAGCAACTAACGTTTGAAATGCGTTATAAAAAATAAGCACAGTGATAGCATCGGCGGCTGCAAGCGTTAGAATACGATTAAAGAAAAGAATGTGACGATCACGCAATTCGCTATCCACCAAATTGTAGATGAACAAACAAAAGAAGACCGAAAAAAATTCAGCAACACACGGTCTTAGAATAGCTTCTAAACAACAGAAACGATTTGCGTTTTGATGATGATCAAAACGATGTTGAGAAGAAAGGTGATACGATGATGACGGCTGAGTGTGATAAATGTTTGCGTAGTTGTTGGCTGATGAATATGCACGATCGTACTGAACCCAGAAAGAAAGCAACAATAATGATCACAATAATGATAATCTGCGACAAATCGCCTAAGCAAGCCAAAAAAGTGTTAAATGAGTCGTAAGTAAATGTGAAACTAACCGTTAATTGTTCATCGGCAAAATTTCGAAGGAACGGCGACGATTGTCGTTGTTGAGTTGATGCCGAAGAACGATACTCATTTTTATTGCGCAAAATGCCTCGTTTTCCGAGCATCATCATTTTTTGCACTTGAAAATCATCGGGACTGTCCATCATTTGAGTGGCCGGCGATCCACCGCTTATCGCTCCATTACCAAAATACGGCGACGATTTAGCGGTTGCTCCACACGATAAGCCACCGAATAATTTTGCGTTCGTAACATTCGGATATGCACTACTGCAAACAACGCTTGTGCCATCTACTAGATCAAATTGCTCATCTTGAAATACCATTTTCTTGAAGGTATAATCTCAGTCAGCAAATAGGACGACTGGCTGATAATGATGATGATAATTTTAAATATGAGATTCCATTGTCGTCACTTTTAGTGTGCAAGCAGTCGTTATTTGTGTTGAGTTAATAAGCTTATGTCAATAATAAGTTGTTGATTGCTTGGCAGATGACAGCAAGTAGCAATAACCTATGAAAATGCAATTGTCTGAAATGAAACAGAATCAATCAGAAAAAATTAATCAATCAATTCTAGAACAATAATAATTATAGAAATAGTGGCAAAATCATGAAGATAGAGTATAAGGTGAAAGATACACGTGACATTTACTTGTCAACGAAGGAAGTGACCAAACTGAAGTGAGCTGGAGAATATCCTCAATTGAGACATGATCTCTAACCCACGCACACATTCTTCTACGTTAATTTAAATGAATATATTGCAAAAACAGTTTAAATGCCACTACAATATAATACGCATATATAAGAGAGGTCTTCATATGAATGAAGAAGTGCGATGGACGAACGGATGGATAGATGTGAGCAAAGGCGAAAATTTGCTTGCTGTCGTTTGGCGGTTGGACAGACAACTGTTCGTGTTTATTATTACTCTTACTCTTATTACCAACAATATTGGTATTGTTATTATCAATGTCCGGCTTAACCTCCTAATTTCTAGCATCTACACATCCAATTGCCATCTGTCTATATTTGTGTTCACAGATTTTCGGACGCGAATAATGTGATATGCTCAGCACGCACAAAAAATACACGACTAAAATCTCTGAACAACTGGAATGTGACTGGAATCCTCCAAATTTTTTGAGCGAATGGTTGTCCGTGAAATTTTCAATTATTCATGGAAATTTTTCTAAGATCTTCACAAAAAGGAGAAAAAACAATCAGAACCGATTGCAGTTTAAAAGAATTTTTCAAAAAAAAATCCGGAAAAAAATGCAATGTTCATAAGATTTTCCGAAATAATAAACTTCAATCAAAAAATGCAAGAAACTTCATTCAAAATTGAAATTCGAAATATTTGAAAAAAACTCTTCTCCAAACGATGCCGATTTCATTAATGATTCCAACGTGAGCTAGATGGGGAGGGGAGGGGAGAGGATACATCACAAAATAATTACACTAAACAACCTCAATAAGTGAATGTGAAAGGCGATTTAACAGCGAGATTAAACTACTAACTCAACCATACATGCTAATTGTAAATCCAAAAACTGTGATAACATCTAACTTACAAGTCATTACTAGTATTATTACTACTGTTAGTGAGGAGACCAACTATATTACAGCTTAAATAATGGTAATAATAATAACAACAGCGACAGATCACTCTTAACCAATCTCAACTAAAGAATTATTGCAGATCGGAAACTATTACAATCAGTTTTAGAATTGATGAATGAATAAATCAATGATGAATGCACATTTTAACTATTCATTTGAGGTGATTTCCGTTAAACGATAAAGTATCCACTTGTAGGTTTGCGTAGGTAGACAAAGGAATGGATAGATCGGTAATGTGATAGAGTATTTGGTCACGTGCGCGCCTCTGTGGATCGCTCAATGACCACGAATATATGATTAATGAGGAGGTTAGATTTAGGGTCAGAGTTAGGTTAGTTCAGCATCAACGATAAGGCTGTGCTTAGCTGAGCAAATTCTGTTTCTTGCTTCAAAACAGATCAAAAGATGTGTAACTAAAACCCTTGCATATAGTCATAAAGATAATTTTCTCGTATTATATTTATAGAATTATTGCAGATGGATATATCGGTAACGTGAATCCAGGTATATTTATACTCTAACAACGAACATTATTCGAAAACCATTGATTGCATCTCACTTGAACAACTCAAAAAACACCAACTGTATAAAAGAGATATTGCGAACTAGTTCAAAAAAAGACGTTTTTCTTCGAGCACTAACTTCATTCAATTTCGATGTATATGTACGTATTTAATTGATCTCATTTTATAAATTGTTGTTTCAGTCAATAACGCCAACAATAAATGAACAGGTGAGTAAACGAATTGATGAACATTTGCAATAAATTTTGGGTCACAAGAAATAAGCAGTTCGAATCGTAATTCGCAAGTAACGTTCCCATTTTCCTTCATTTCGTTTTCGCACTGATACTTCTGCAGTTTTAATATAGCCAACATTAACCATTTTTACACCCCGATCGCCATATCCTGACGCAATTCAGTTCATTTTTCGTCGTCTAAGACCGCATGAACAGTTACTCACAACTGATAACCGCTCGTGGTTGAATAAAAAATGCCTGCTGACTAGTTTCAATTACCTCTTTCGGAAAGACCGAGATTGTGATGCATGAAAAAATCAAATGTAAGGTAACTTTATTATTATGACCATTATTCATTACCAAGTTAGTACCAGTATGAATATACATCAAATATACTTCTATCAGCATAACAAGTCGTCATAAAATACACCATATCATTTCACTGAAACAAACAACACGAACGAATCACTGTTTCGCATTATGATTATTATCATCAGTAGGATATCATTTGTGTGATTGATAATGATGATCCAAATAGCGTCGATATTCGTTGACTGATCGCCAATGAGCTGAACGCAGCAAGACGTGTGGCCGTTTGCTTTTCAAATATTCGAATGCCACATTTGGCATCCAATTGTTTTTAGCCATTAAATAACATACGACAACCGTCGTACTGCGTGTACGACCCGCTTTACAGTGCACATATCTTAAATTAGCATAATCAGTGATCAAAATTTAATTATGCATTTATGTGAACTCACCATAAAATCGGGAGTAAATACTGAACCTTTGCTGTTAATTGTTTGCGTTCGCTAACCAATCCAGATAACCCTCAGGCAAGTTGAGTTGAAACCCACGATCGGGTCTATTTTGTGGGCCAATGAATGAATAGTCAAAAGCATCTTACTAGTCAAAAGTGAGTGGTCTTCCCCTGCTCATTAAATATGATATGAGCGAACGTTGAACGATATCGAATGTAAGTGGATATGGACAGTAATAAGTGAATGAATAATATTATAAAACGAACACTGATTTGCCCTGTTTACCGATTGCATCGATGAAGTGAATCGCCTTTTCGATTTCATTTCGGCTCGACGAGCCAACAAAGTCAACCATAGGTATTTCATGATAAGCTATCCCAAGCTTTTCCCATTCACTTTTACCCATCGTCGACCAAAGCGCTTTCGTTTCGAATTCTTGAAATGAATTGATGACTTGTCTCAACGAAACTTCGAATTTGCTATTCATTCTTCAATTGACTGCACACTTCACAGTAGACACTTAAGGGCTCCAATTACTGCATCTGTTAATGATCCTTTCCTCTAGCACATCGCATCCTCCGCTCGCCCTATTCTCAATTATTGAGACTCCGTCGCCACTTCTGCTATCACCTAATGCCACTCATTCATTCATCCGTTACTTTTCCCTTGTCTCGCCCCGCTATCAACTCCGTTCCGTTGTCGGCTTAAAGCAACCAGTCATTCATCAAATATGACAACTGAACAGACTCAATAATCAAACAATGAACTTACGAACCTTCCGTACAAGAAACTACACCACCGATATTTTCATTCCTTTGCAACTCATCAACCATACTACGGAACGGCAACGCGCCTTGTACGACTGTCTCATCGATGCGGCTGTACCATGGCCATTTAGCCGATTGCAAATAGTTGCGGATAAGATTGTATCCGATCGATGGATAAAATGCTATCACAGAAAACATGAATGCAATCAGTATGTTGATCAACTGCTCGACGGCTCCGCCAAACAGATATTCGTTCAAATGATTTTTTCCAACGTTCTGGAAATATGGCGCATTTACGACGCCCAAAGCACCGTTTTTGACTTTGTTGACTACGACGTGTGTGTCCCTGAAAAGAATCACCATTGCTTGACACCGTGACCGGACAATTTGCCTAAAGACGTTTTGCCTAGGGACAGTTTGCGTGAAGACACACTGCCTAACGGACAGTTTTTTAATGGATATTTTGCCTAATAGGCAAACTGTCCTTAGATAAAACGTCCTAAGGCTGATTGTTCGAGTACCACTTGACACTGATAATAATGACAATAAAAGTAATACTGCTACTAATGACGGCCATGATAATGATAAAAAGCAATAATTTAAAAAAATGATAAAACGAATTTGAAGCAATACTACTCAACGAATAAAATAAGTAAGCTGTTTTCGGTTCGGCTCATAACACCGATCAATCTTTCAAGAACACATACATTCAATATTGACGGAAATGAGCAAACTTTTACTTTTTTTCCTTCAAATTAACGGAAAACATTCTCTACAACATAAAACATTACAAAGTTGTTGAGAAATGCTGTGAGCAAGCAAGTTTTCTGCGATATGGCGACCATAAATTGTTAACTAACAGCAACGTTCCGCCTTAATTTCCATACTTTTGAGAATGGATATTCTTTAAAAAACCGACCAAAATATTCAATCTTCCAAAACGAAAACTCGATCCATACCAATCAAAAAAATTGAGTATGATTCGACACTACTACATGCAAACCACAGCATAAAACAATCGATCATTCAAGAATAATAAAATAAAGACAATAACAATAATGCAAAGACTAAAGAGGTAAACCAGCATTACTTTATATTATGATGTCGTTCAAATAATATTTCACGCGTTGGTGACCACAATAATAATGATATCACAATAATAACATGCTAATAAAAAATTAGCCCCAATATGCCAACCGAGATAAGGCCTCAATAAAACAAAATGAAAATGAGCAGCAATACCCAAAAATAGCATCGAAGCATCTACCATTAAAAATATACATAAGATCGAACAGTACAACAAGGCAGTGACAATGACAACCGGAAGATTCAGAAGGTATAGTATTGCACTTATGCATAGATATTTTTGTGGCGTATGAAAATTTGCTGATCCGAATACGCAAGTCGTTAACAAACATTTAATCCATCTATAAAAAAACTTCGATGAAACATCAACTCTCACAAGATTATCAATAAACAAATGAACGCCTTTACGCGTATCCTCTCATACACAAAAGTTACGCACATTCAATCATTATAAGTTGATGTACATCAATATTTGAATATATGCATCAATATTATGCACTCACTGGTTGTTTGGCAGTATCGCTTAATTCATCAGCAGACTGTGAAGCTCTCTGATTCGTGTTATCACTATGAAGTCGTTTCCGAGTTTTAGTTGTTACCTTTAAAGTAGCATTTTGAGTATAATCAAAAATTATTTTCCCTTACCCATAATTGATATCAGAAAAAAGTGGGTATTGCTAACGTTTGCTTGATGGTCACTGGATCGAACTGAAGTCGAAGATTCAGAACGAGTTCGGATGATCGGCGATTGCACTGTTTGCAATTTTAGCGATCCAATCTTCGGCGATATGCCAGTTCGTTGAGGGGGTCTAAGTTGAGATCGAAGTTGGAGCTGGGCTTGGTGTGGCTTTCGAGCCGCGTTGAACGCACCACAAACCCAACAATAATACGAAAAATGATCATATTCATCATCGCGCGCCATACCATTATGCGCATAACAACTGCTACAGACCAACGCATACCTTCAATGAGAACAAAATGAAAACAATCCTTTATTCAGCCATAACTTTAAATACAGAATTAAATAATACCCCCAATAAACCAAAAGTCAGATGCCTCACCCACCTGTAGTTCGGTCCATCAGCCAATAAGAAGTCCACGAAACGTTCGATTAACGATCGATTTTGACCCAAAAATGGTCTGGGCGGTAATCTTCTCTGTTGTGGCTCCTGTCTTGGAGCACCACGCTGATCCACCCTATCCACTGGAAAAATGCTGTTTGATGGCGACTTTGCGAGATCAGCTGTTGCTGCGGTCATTGGAGTTTCTTTCTGCATGTGCCCTTCTGCAACCTTAAATCCTTCAAAAAGTTTCCTTCTTAAATCTTAATTTTAAAACTTTACCCCTAATAAGGCAAACTGCTTCTTCCTATTTTGCTTACACACTCACAGCTAGTCATCGTTCTTTTATTTATTTCACAATAAACCATTACCACCTCGTGCTGGTCGTTGTGGCTGTTCACAACTGCGTGGAGAATTCAGTCGTTGTTCAGCATCTACTCGTCGTGAACTATGATGCATTGGCTCTGATGGAAGCGCTGCCGGATCGCCATACTTCTCCAAAATTTCTTTGGCAACCTAAAAAAAGTTTTTCATTCAATCGTTTGAATGCGCCACAAAATGCAGTCTTATTCGTCGCATAGCTTAAAACAGAGTTTCAAATGGCAGTGAAAGAACGAGAAAACGACTGAAATTTCACCTTGAAGGTTTCAGTTTCTTTGACTTGTTCAAGAATGGCCAATTTTCTTTTCGTCATTTCCAAAAATGTTCTTCGTTTCTTTCCTATACACCATTCGTAATAAGCGTTCATGAGACGATTCGTTAAATAGATCAATGTTAGACCTGTAACAATGAATTATTGAAAGCATTTCACGATCGCAATGTGATATCACTGAATTCATCCACTAATTTCATTCTTATCACGTAACTCATTTAAACGCTGTGAACACTTGAGTTCGACGAATGTTACAAAAGAGATAATTTCGTTTCTGAGCAGAAATTTTCAAACGATTTTATCACGAAGTTCAATCAAAAAACGACGAATGCAAATTCTATGCACAAAAATGCTAACATACCCGCAAATGAAGCAAGCACTGAATAGAGTGTACGACGTCTTTTGTCCGACACGTAGAAAAGTACCATTGATATGCCAATACCAGTTAGCACAAATAAGGTTAATGAACAAAGCCATCGCATCGAATGCTAATGAAAATAATGACAATGATAGCGGTAATGTTATATTATATTAAATAAATCACAATATGAAATTATTGTCATCCACACCTTACTGTTAACAGTTTTATTGATGGCTTCTTCGAGCAATTGTGCTTTTTGTTGAATTTCATCCAATTCTTCTGTGACAACTTTTTTGCGTCGGAAAATAACATTGCCCATTCTTTTACCCTCCTATCAAGTTGGCGATGACGATAGTTCGCTAATCAACGAATTACAACCCACTGCAATAAAGAGGTGATAGTAGATTTAAAATACTGATAGGATAATCATGACGGCAGCAACAACGAGATGTGAATAATAATTGTTAGTACAAAATTTCAACAAGTGCAGCTATTTAATCACCGATGAACAATGTTTGATATCAATGGCTTTAGCCGTAGAAATTACCACCCACCACGGCCAGTTCAAAATAGTTTCAGAAATGTGATCATTTCACCGCAACCGACGGCGGACGCAATGCCAACACAAGCATCGCACTCAAACTAATGTTCCTCGATCAACACTTCCAACAGAGAGACTCAATTGTAAGTTATATTGATTGATTACTTCTCGCGATCGGTTAAGATTTCCGGAAAACATTGCAATGAAATAGGGGTTAACAGGTGATCTGAAGGACGCTGATGACCGATACGGTTTTTGAAAACAAAGCAAGCAACTGCACAGATGCATGAACTAGTCAAGAATGACAACTGAATTGATAACACATAACGCAAGTGATCATTACCAACGAATGCTCGATTCACTATCCAATTACTGCGTCACATCAATTATACTACGAGTAATCGATCCAATGTAGATTTGAAACGCTCTGATTCACGACAAATATATGCATGAACTGATCATAGCAGTTCTATGATGTACTCAAGATTATGCGCACTTTTTCAGATGGTATCAGGCGTCTTTAAGGTTCGATTCAACGCACAGTCAGTGCATTGATGGGCTCAACTATTCATCCGATTTCATTTCCATCAAAAACGTTCAACGTAACATTAAATTGAAACAGAAATCGTAAAAACGAGCATTCCCCTAGGCACACGATATTATCTGAAAAATGACGAAATAATTACTTATCCTGAATCGTCGAAAGTATTGGCTAACGAAACTCATCAAATCGAATTCGAGAATAATATAAACACTGACTAAAAACCATAAATAGAGCACAAATTACAATTATTTATGCAATGTGTAATATGTTTACAAAGCACTCGGTTAAATGACAATAACGTAATAATAGTGACATTACTATTCCTATCGGTTGTGATACAAAGAATGGTGAGAACAGCAATTATAACACAATCAATCGCTGTGATAATGATCAATTCAAATTAAGTATTCTGAAATCACAAAAAGAAAAATAAGCGTTGTTGTCTCAAGAACAAGAGTTCACATTTCAGTTTCTGAACACGAGCCCGTTAAAACAGCAAAACTTTATCAGATGCAGTTTTTTTTTAACTTTTATAACGAAACGGAAGTAGATTTGGAGTTTGAGTTGAGGCAGCACGCGCACCATGAGTGGTATAGTTCAGTTGAAGAGCGCAGTGGTACAGCTAGAGAAAAATGGCAAGGGCAAGAAGTGGTCTACGATGATTTTGGTTTTGGTGCAGATGAGTGAATATAGTCGAATAACGGTTCCGAACATCAGCTGATGGGAAATGGATGTCAATTGAAGGTCTCGGCTCGCAATGATCTGGTCTATTCCACACGTGGCACTGATATTCGCTGAGCAATTGCTGCCTGAATGCTGCGCTTCCTGTTCGTCATAAATATTCCACAAAGACACGCCGCCGAAATCCTCAACGCATCTTGATTGGTCGTTTTTGTACTGAGCAACATTTTTTATATAAAATTTAGTGAAAAACTACAGATGACTCAAAGTGATTGTTGTTCTTATTGGAACAAAACATCTACAAACGAACTAACAAAGCTCATAAATTGACAAGAACTTGCGCAACATTTCAAATAACCGTGATATCTTCCGGAAAAATGAATAGATTAACGATAAAACCTACGGATGAGTGGGCATTCCTAACAGAGTAAATTCCCAGTAAAGTAATAAAAGCGATAAACGTTTGACAAATGATAGAATACTTAAGATGATCCAATCTAATGGGACTTGTTCCGTACCCCTCGCAATATGCACGCTTACCTTATCGACGATCTACATAACGTGTCTCACCTCTCTAATATTTTTAGTAATAATAACGATAATAATAATACCTTATGAAAGCATTTCAACAAAACATTCAACAAATAATATCAAATCGTTTCAGCGATGGATGGTGTTGCTAATAAAACTGCAACCACAGTCATTCGTGCTGTGGCTCGTCTCAACCTCATTCTGCTGCTGCATCTCCATCATATCTTCGTTTATTTTCATCTCCCTTTTCGTCATTTTCGTTGTCCTCTTCTTCATTCAATGCAAAGACGTTCAAACTAGCGTGCTGCGGATACAGGGAAATTCGAAATTTTCATTCGACCACCTCTAAAATGCTACTATTCTAAGAAAAGCCATAAATGGAAGTCCCCGAAAAATGCTTGTATTATGCCAACCTTACGTAACAACAAAAAATGCTTACCTATACATACAAACCCGTGAATATGTCTATACTTGCATGAGCGTAGCCAAAGAAGAGGCACTGGGAGGCATGATTTACCACCCCCCCCCTCCTCCTCCTACCTACCTACCAGTATATTATAACTGGACAAGTGGTTGTGCAGCAACTTGAAACGGTGAATTTTCATGACTTATAAACAGTGAAGGACCAAACTTACCGCCACAATCTTCAACATCTTGAAGAACGATGTCGACAGAGATATGGAATGGGCCGAGTTGGAGTTTGGCTCAAACAGAAACCCGAAAACTGAAGTCGAATAATAAGATGACGCCGGTAATGACGACTCATTTGAACTGTTCAACAAGTCAGTTCTGTAACATTTCTTCATTTCACTTGATGTACGAGTATCACGAATTGTTGTCACATCATCGTCGAAGGTAATAATAATAACTGCTTGAGAAAAAATGACGAAAACAACAGTAATCAATTATTAATTGCCTTCATAATTCACTGCATTGAATAGCTGATGTCTTGAAAGCCGAGATAAGTTGATGGACTGCTGAATGGTAATGTGTTGCATCTTATCGTCATTATCATCATCAACATCATCTTCCTATTCTTCAGAATATTCCAATTTTCACAGATGAAATAAGGAATAAACAAATATTCTAAACAAAGAAAGAAACGTTCAAAGAGAGGATGTTTCAACTGAAGAAATCCTAATTGGTTTGGGAGTGCAAAACAGAAATTGCTCGTTGACCTTTGACTTGTTGCATTAGTTCGTTCCTTTGAACAATTACAATTCAATATGCACTCACTCAATATTCATGTACGCATTTATACATATATGATACTTAATATTTTTATAAATACACACGCACGCTGACACACACGCAAATATGTAGTAGTTTAAAATAGACAAATATTTATATATAGCATAATGAGTACAGAAATAACGATAACAATTAATGCTATTGTTATAATCAATTAATCAAATCATATAAACATAATTATATCAATAGCAATTGCGAATTTAAAAATGTCATCATCAATAATAATAACCACATAACAACATGAGAGGAATATGTGCATATTTTGTGTAAACGAGCAAATTGTACGAACGGTAATAAAAATAATGTTTACAATAATCCTAATAAAAAGAATAATAATGACGCAAGCAATCAAAAAACTCTAAGAATAAATTCAGAGAACAATGTTTCATAATGCATTCAAAAGATGGAATCATTCCTATTGAAAGTCGATGGTTTCTAACGAAACAATAAAGAAATCACTAGACGAAGTTCTGAAAACGTAATGTTGTCGAAAACAATGGCAATAATAATAATAGTGCTAGTAAACAGTATGGCTAAAAATCGTTTGTGTATATGTGCAATATGGTCGGATATATGTGTATATGAGATATATCGGATATAAACAGAACTGAAAACAAATTCTCAACAAACTAAATTCGGTTGATGATTAGAAGAGACGTGCTCGTTAATCGATGAGTAATGACTTAATAAATTAGGCATTCGAACCGATGAGATGCTAAGATGTATAATGAATATTGTATTAGGATCATAAGATGTACAGTTGGTCAAAAACTATCATATGAGAATACAAAATAAGAAATTTTACTTTATAATTATGTTAAACGGATATCATATCAGAACATACAATAACTATACGAGATCATAATATATTCAAAAATGTGGTATAATATAGGATAATATGTATGTACATATATGTAATTTTATGAGACAATATACTCATAAACGGTTCACAAGAAAAGAAACAATAAATGAAATAAAAATGATGAAAAAAGTCATTCAAAATTCATATATGAGAAGACAAGAAATTAGGAAGGTCACATTTCATTATTGTATGTTGCACTTCAACTGCACAAAATGATATACTGAAGAGAACGACCGCAGCAGCTAATAATACGACGAACGAATCGATGGATGGATATATAAAATCAAGGAGGGAAGAAAATGCAGGGAACGAACAAAACAGTAAAGCAAATCGATGACGATCATGGATCTATTCCGACAGCAACAAGTCTTCTTGAACGACTCATTCAATTTTCGTCGAAACGGCGAAAATCGTTCACCTGTCCCTTATTTACACACTTATTATCACCTTTACACCCATCCGCTTCGAATGATTATTCATTTCCAGTATTCAATAAATCTGTGTCTACTGCTTATTGGGATTCAAACAGTTTAGTACAATGAAATAGAATAAACTAAATTCGGAAGGTAGTGAAAGTCAAGATTTTTGAAAGACTCGTCTACGAGTTGGTGTGGCTGCAGCCCCAGTCCCTGTCTCCGTTCCTGTGCTAGCGGGAGTACTACGACCGCTACTGGTTGTGGTGGTATGAGGGTTAGCATTAGCGTTAGCTTGACTGTTGGTGGGAAAAGATGGTAGAGAGGTTCTTGACGGTGTTGAAACTGCAGATGCATGTTGCGAGGACGGTTGTTGGTTGGGATCCGTAACGAAACGTAGCAAACGTTGCCGACGTGGATCGAATTCTTTTTGCACTCGAATTTTTTCGATCGTTTTTGCATTACGCCATAAATATTGCACAAATAAACGTTTCCGGAACGTTGGTACTTGTCGACTTGTTGCGGCTGCAGTCGACGATTGTCGTACCCTTGCTAGCGAAGATGAAGAGGGTCTTGTTCTCGCACTTCTACTGACTGCATCTTGCGATGGTATGGATGACGGTGATCGTTTTGAACGACGTTTTTGATCAGATGAGACTGATCCAGTAGCAGGTTGAGATGAAGTTTGAGGCGACGACGAATAGTCCGAATTGACCTTATCGATCATGGTAACGATACGATGAAAAGATGTACACGTACGCCAAAAGCTATAAAAGCGAACCACTTTGTAGACGTTAGCCAACGGCACTTTCTCACCACGTGCCAAACCAGCACTGTTTCGAGAGCTACTCGTACCGGATACTGAACTACGTGGTGTTGATGAGGCAGTGGATTGATGTGATGATGAATGTGGATGAAACACACTAGTGGATGGATAATGGTGTGCGGTTGAACGCAAAGGTGACATTGTCTGCGGAGCACTTGATGCAGTTGATTGCGTCTGCAACGTGAACGACAGAGGACTGGCCAGTTTCGCCGAAATTACTTTACCTTTAGCCGTTATACAGTTCACTTTGACAAATTTCCTCAAATCCTCAGAATAGTAGTATTTGGTGGGACGAGAAGTATGTTTCCACCAATGATCATCACCCATAATATCACCCATTCGAATCTTATCACCATCAACCACAAAACAATAGTTATCCTCAACCATTGTCGGCGGCACAATACTACTCAACATTGACTCCGGTGCTGACATTAGATTTTCCAATGCGGCTTCCGTCTGAACGGTATCATGATGAACGCTATGCACGGGTAATTCTTGATGGTATAGCACAGGCTCTTCGTGCGAGAGTAACGCCTCGGCTGAAACGCCTGAATCAACCAACTCAAAGGCGCCTAAATCGATGTCGTATATTGGTGGTGCAGGCGAATTGCATTCCGATGATGAAGACTCCACACAAATCGGACTGAAATGATCAAATTCAAGTTACAAATCAAACGTTTAGTCAGCTCAACTTACGAATTCTTAATTTCACCCAGTAATTTCTCGATGACAATAACTCAAATCTTTTAACGAGTCAGTCGGTTTTCATGATAAACCTCATCTTATAGTATGTCACATTATGCATAATCAACTCAAGAATTAGCTCATCATTAACTCAAAAGATGATCCTTTCAAAGAGAGTCGATCAGCATCTTGGCAAATCACGTTTGATGCTATTCAAGTGAGCAAGTATGCATGCATATTGATCGCCTCTACTTATCAATCCACCTACAAAACCAACCACCAACAATCACCATCACAAAACTAAACACATCATCGCAACATCAGAGCAATTTCCTGAGAACTGTTGTTTAGTCGAACCAATATCGACTTCCGTCTTGACATTTTTCGATAAAAATTGATCAATAAAAACGAAATATGAAAAACTAAATACTTTTAAAGTGATTAATAACAATGATGCCATCACCACATGGCGTCAATTCAACACAAACAATGCATACCTACAGTGCACAAACATTCATAATGTATAAAATAAGCTTTTAAAAAATAATGAAATGCGCAGAAAAGCATGCTTTACTACCACAGTCACTTTCGCAGTGCCACCGTGACATCTCACTCAAATAAAGACAACAGCAACAATATATAATAATGATAAACCTAAAATATGAAGTTAAAAGATAAAATGAGCGACAGATTGGTATAATCATGTTAAAAACAAATGCAATAAATGAAGAAGTGAAACGAGTGTGTAATAATGAACAGAACACAAAAATTAAGGAATTAACAAGTCGTCTTGACTTGAGCATATTGCTCTTTATCATCATCTAAGCAAGCCTATTTCTACTTTCATACATAGCACTAAAGCTAAGCCTAACATCACCATTAACCAGTATCATCTAATCAATGTGAGCATGAGTGACTTTCTGGTAGACTAAAAACAACAAAAAAATGAGCATCGTTTTGTTTTTCAAGTGAGTTAAACGATTCGTCATATCATTTCGATGGAATAATTAAGACTGCATTCAAAATTTCAACGTTCTCATCAATGACCTATCTTTTAAAAAAACAGCCACCAAAAGAAACAATCAACTAACCTAACAACATCAGTTTCATCTTCGTCGTCCTCCATCACTGCCTCTGCTTCTTCATCGTCGTTATCAACTGCAGTCGTTGGCTGCTGTGTAGATTCCACCAAGACTTCAGAATCCATCGGATCCGGCATCCTGATCGTAACGATTTCATGCAAATCAGTTGGTGATAACTGCTTCGGTGACATTGACGATTTGGATTTGGATAAGCATGACACAGCACTGCGTTCGGCTTGCATCTCTATTTGGGCACTCTGGAGTTCTGCTCCTGCTCGTGCTAGATGCGCTGATACTTCTCCACTACTCCTAATACTGCAATTTCATTTTTAAAAAAAGAGTGATTTCTATTATTCACTTATCTCACTGTTTATTGCTTTCATTACTATTAGCAACATTCTTCATAGATGTTAGTCAATCAACTGATCAATTTATACCTGTCATGATGATTGCAAAATACTCAGACAGCGACTCACCTAATATAGGGTTTACAGTATTCATCAAGCATTTTTATATAAGAATCCCATTCTTCCATACAGGCCAAACCGATTGGCTGAAACAAATGAATGCTACATTGGTTGCGTTCAATAAAAAAAAAATTCTTATCAATTCACTGAGTACGCAAATATAATATTGTATAAGAGAAATAAAAATTATACTCATTAAGATTCAATCATCTGATAAGCTTCAAGTAACTGCCGCATGCACATAGCAGTTCTCTAATTAAAATGAATTGACGAACACATTAAAGTCTATGGACCGACGAACACAAAAATCAATTGGAGATAAAGTGGGCAAAGCGTAATGAAAGAATTAAAACATAAAAACTAGTTCAACAACTGAAAATTTTCACCACATTCACAAGAAAAATTAGAGGTCCAATACAACAGAAAGTTGCTCTAAATATGCATATATACATGCACAAGTTATAGTTTAATTATGCTCATTGATTACTGTCGATTGGAATCATACTTACATTTTGATGCGATACAAGTATGACAGAGGAATGTGCTGAACGTATGTCGTTCATTGAAATTGAAGTGGATATATCTGATGACAAGCCAGCGAGATTATCAGTCATTTTCAAATTATTGCAGTGCACAAAATCGAACAGAGTCCGCAAATATTCACATATCAAGTCCATTATTGATGTTCTCGACGAGATATTCAACCAATCGAGCATCAATAATGGATCTTGATGTTTCGCACGTTTATGCCTCAAAATTAGCTCAGCATTTATAAGATTATGATACTAATGACAAGAGAGACCAGAACGTTAGCTCTTGCCCGGATAGTACGCAGACGATAACAATGGCTGCAGTATGGCAACGGCGGTATCATATTCGTTGTGATTTTTGGACCTACGACTTGTTCGAGTTGACGACAGCGAGGATGGTGGAGTAGTGACAGTTGATCTTCTTTTCTGCGGTACAGATAGAGGTTGTTTTTTGTGACGTTGATGATGGAAACGACATCTTGAAGGAAGACGTTGCTGCGGAAGAGGATGAAGAAGCCGTTCGAGGGGGATGACGAAATCCTGTGGAGTCTGATGAAAGAGTCGTCAAACGTCGTCTTTCATAAACATTATCATTATCACAATGATCATCATCAACTTCACTACTTTCATCCGTTTTGCAATTACCTCTACCTAAACAGTATTGCTGCTGTTTGTAGGTGAATGCAGGTAATGGTGAAGAATATGCAGTAACATTAGCAGATTGTTCTTGCTGTAGCGCTGTTATTGCCTGCTTGAGTCTTTTATTTCTCCTGCTTTGGTGAGTCAGCCACCAATAATCCACCATTACTGTTTTACCTACGGCCGTCCATAATACTAAACCAAAACTTTGTGTTAGATTCCTGCCGCTGCTACTATTCAAAATCCGTTACCTAGCGTTACGCACTAACATAGTATTATTTGACGACACGATGGTGGAAACAACGAAGATTGCAATGAAGGTGTGGTAAGGGAGGATGTCGCAGTTGATGAAGGCAATCCGGTGCTGATGGTATGACGACGTGGTACTAAGTGAATAAGATGAAGAGGACGAAGAAAGTTGATGCAAATTCAAACGTGGATTATGTTGAAAGAGTTTGGGTAGTAGCTGACTGCACACAATTGAACAACAACCCTCGATTTGTGGCAGGTTATCATTATCCTTTGATGACAACGTTTTTAATGATTCAAAGACAGACGTCTACTCAGAAGCTGCCGTATTCGAGTGTTGCTGCTTGAACTTATTATTATTTGATTTGGAGGGAACATGCTGATGGCAAGACGTGAATGAGGAACGAGATGAAGCATCACAACAATATTTAAAAGCATCATCATCACCGAAAGCGTAACAATCACAACAAGAATTGGATCTGAAATTGGGAGATGAATGATTAATACGATGGTAACGATATCACCATTCCTATGAGAATAACAATGACTTTATTTTGTGTTTGCTTATGCATGTGCATATAGCAATCACAATGATTAGCATTAGCGGCACCATGACTTTCATTCTTAGCATTGATTACATTATTATTTTAATTATTCTTAAGTATGTTATTATTATTATTATGATAACTACAATCATTATTGAACCGTCTTGCAATAACTGGTGGTGATTTATTGAAATGTACCGATCCACGACAGCTGACCATATGATTGTAATCAAAAGCAGAAGATTACCATGAGAAGAGAGACAATCAAAAGATTGAAGCATGCTTTCAAGCAAATCACATTGGGTTGCAAGCTTTGACTGCATAAACGGCGCCGTTATACAGAAACAATGAGAGTCACAATTACAATAGCTCATACTCATATTCATAGCATATTCGTATGTTCGAGCATCACCATAATAAGCATGAACATTATTATTACTGTTATCATTACTACTCATCATGCATGAACTATGACAGCAGTATTGTTTGGCTTGTGGAATAAGTTTAGCTGCATCCGAAAGCGCCCAAAGTGCGCTAAGAGAACGACGTGAAAGATCACTTCCACTAGCAAAACATTCGGCGGATCGCAGTGAAAAGTGACAATCACGATGACGATGACTAAGTAAATTGAGCTGCTGATTATCAGTATTACGGTTAAACTGTTTAATCATCATCCATTTTCTTACACTGTTTGTTACGGAAACGAGTGGTGGTGGTGGCGAGCTGCTTGATGCAGGTTCGGCATAAGACTGTTGAGTAGCACTAGGCGAGACACATCTGGATGACGATGTTGATGATGGCAGTTCACATTCTGCATCATCTGCTGCTGTGACTGTCAGATGTTCAGCATCTGAACAAACATTCAACGGACAACTGCGCACTCGACGACTATGTCGGGCTGATTCGGCTGAAAATTCATCAAATTGTACACTCCGTTGTTTTACTGCTAATGATAAAGCACCAACCAATTTGATGATAATCTGGTGATGGTACTGGGAATTCATATTCGAAAGACATCAACGAGGGTGAGGGTGAACGATAGTTGCTGTACATTACTTCACGTTCAATTACGGACGGTTCAGTTGATAGCGAGCAATGAATGGAAGCCTCTGCAATTTATATAATATTTTAATAATCTTTGATCTGTTGATGTCGGCCAGCTGTACTCATATGAGGACGGCTTGTGCTAATGTAGCAGTGAATTTTGCAGCATTCTAAAATGAAAACGTCACAAGTTAAAAACCCATTTTGACACAAAGTCATCATAAAAATTTCTTAAAATATACCGGGGCTAGGACCTGAATCTGTCCATGAGCTTGTCCTGAACTGCCGTCGATAGTACATGCTGAAAATTTGCGTTTTGATTCAATTCATGTGTATTATTCAGTTCCTTCTTCTTTAAAAAAAATCAAATCTTAAAAGATAAGAGCAACTCAGTAAACAGGAAAGCTAAAGGAAACTAGATAGATAGCTGAATCAAAGAACAGATAAAAGTTAAACAATTATGCAGTAAAGAATAATAAGTGTGAGATTTTCGATAAGCTTACGTTGATCTCGCAGACGCTGTTGAATTACTGCATGAACTTGGCGTCCTCAATCGCTGTTTCAAACTACAACAGAAATTTTTGACTTTCATTCATTCAGTTAATAAATCAATTTTCGACGAAATACCAAAGTGACAATTTTTGCACACAAAATCAATGACAAATGCATACATGCACATATACATATATTTTTGTACTTCATCAAACGAATTTCAATCTTTTTTGAAGATTCAAACAAGGGTTTCCCAACGTAAAATGACAGTATTGCAGCCGCTACCGCCACCAAATGCATGTCATACCTCCTCACTGAGAGCACCGTTGGAGTGGGTAGGTTTTCAATCTTGCATAAGCTGAACGGGAAAGCACTGTCGATGATTGTTTCGTCTAATTGCCAGCTGCAAAATATTTGCTAACACAGATGCCAATAAAGTCATTTAGCAGTTTAATTCTTTTCTTGTCGAATGATGAAATCCATTCGGTTTGCTTTCTTTAAGAAAAAAGTACATGAACAGATAAATAAATAAAGATTCATTCATAAGCACATACACACATACTCACCTGTTCAAATTATCGCTAACTGCATCAACAATTTCTTCCTTATGATTACAACGATGCGACTGTGACATTGCTGGCTCTGAGCTTAAATTCAGAAAATGAACATGACTGCATTAGACTTTAAACGATTTCCAGTGATTGAATTGGCACTTTTGGTTGGTCATTTCCTTTTTTAAAAGAACAAGCTAGTCTTGAACTTCTTTTGAAGAAAACATTTTATCATTCATATGGAAACAACAACAAAACCAATAAAACAATAAGAAATAAGAAACGTAACAGTAATCATGATAATACAATTCATATGGTGATGATAATAATAATAAATATATCGGCAATATTTATCAACAAAAAAAAATCAAACCATTCATCATGAAGTTGTTGTAAATACATTTGTAAAATTTCTTCACCGTGGCCCATCGCCAACCTACGCTCGATCATACGTTTACGTTTGAGCAAATGTAAAAGATCCGTCCCGCGGAATTTACGACCGAAATAGTGAATCTTTTGGATGTATTGAATACCAACTAAATCGATGCACATTGTTGTGACTGCGAGACCAACGCCAAGGTATATTAACATGAGTATTATATACCTCAAATTATGTAAATCTTTTCAGTTCATTGGACGTAAGGATTCCTCAAGTACATCAAATTCATCTTTTTTATTATCATCATCATGGTTTGTCATTGTTCTTATCACTATCATTAACATACATTTATTGCAATTCGCTTGACTTCTTCAACTATTATCATTTGCATTATGACATGTCTTACAACAGAACCAACAATATGCAAGAAAAACGCTGAAAAATTAATGGAAGAAAAAGCAGTGATAGGCACGCTAATGAAAAAAAAACGTCGCTTCGTTAATCGCATATTCGCTTGAAAAATAATTTTGTTCCGCCAAAAATAATTCGCTAGTGGCGCCGCTGACGAAAAACTAGCGAAAACTCCTCGCTACAAGTAGCGCTAATCGAAAAAATAGCAGTAATTTCCGCTAAAATACTACGCAACAAAATTAATCCACTAGTCGCTACTATCAAATTCTCGTTTGAAATTTGTAATCGAGTTAATGAATAAAACCCACATTACACCATTAAACAGCCCCTTTCAAGAACATCTACACGCTGCTGTTGTTTTTGAAAGATGTGAAACAATCAACTGGCAACAGCTCATACTACATCTTCGCATTCCTTTTTAAGAACATCAACAGACCAAACCGTTTGGTTCTTATTATATCCTCCCTTATGAACAAAACCTCACTGCACAGTCCGTAACTTATTTAAAGTCACACACAACTTAGCAAGCTCAAACGGAATGTTAGTAGTGCACTTATAGCAAGTATTTGAGGCATATTCACTTTTGACCCGTTGAGATGAGTGAGAACACGGTACATTCAAATTTAGCACTTGTCAATGCTGAAGCGCAAATACGAATTTCAAATACATTGATGTTAGGAAAAGCAAGCACTTCGTTGCGGACAGAAAATAGCGAAAATCTGAAAAAACCAGGCTCGCTAGAACGTTGACGAAAGGAAACAGCGCAAGTTGTCGCTATTTTGTGCCACCAAAAAGTTATTGCAGCGCAAATTATCTCCATAAATTTCCGCCATATGAAAAAGTAGCGAGCTATTGGGTTACTGAAAAAAGTAACTCCTCTAATAGCGGAATAATGCATAGCGCAATAATGCCCATCACTCAGAAGAAGTATCCATTAAGCTGTACAGGATTTAACTGAGAATATTTGTTCTTTCAGTATAAAAAATTTTGAAAAAATGAAATGTTTGGCTAAATTTTCAATTGACTCGAACGCAACTAAAACAAACACTAACTCATGTCTTTCAGGCACAAGATCACCGAAACCAATCGTCGTTAATGAAACGAAACCTGTAAAATCAGAATCACTTCAAACACTTATCTAATCATCTATTCAACTCTTCATATATGTCCACTTCATGGCACTATTCAACGACAGCACAATTCTGCTTTTATTGCTTGAAAGTACTGATACAACAACTAATGAAACATCAAATGAATCACGCAATGATAAATAACTAACTGACTAAGTAGGCAAAAAAAATACGTAAAACAGAACAATGAATAAACAATTCTCACAGTAGTAAAAGGCGTCCATGTAGGTCCATGATTCAAGGACGGCGAAAAGAACACCTCCAAAGGCAATATATAACTGAAAACGGATTATTCAATCATAAACACCAGTTAGTTGAGCAGGTTTTGAATACGCCTTCAGTGAAGACAGTAAGCATAAGAAAACAAGTGGAAACAATACAATATTAAATGAAACAACCATAATACCACTGAACATCACTAACAAGAAGTATAGCAAAAACGAGTAGAACAGGCACTTCGGTTTTATCCATGATGAGATCGTCCCAATCTAGTGCTGAATTCTCGGATTCAGAAGGCATCTCTTCATCGATTTCGGATACAACACCATCTGAAGACATAAACAAAGAATTCACCATATTCATTTTCTTCCCATCCCATCGTCACAAAAAATCACCACACAACAATACCAACAGTAATAATATCAACAATCACATAAACAACTGCGAATGAACAACTGTAATCCACAATATAACTAACTACTAACTTTTCCTTGACCACCATTTTCGAAAGCGATACACGACAATATTACGTGCTTTTTTCATCTTCTTATACAACCAAATTGTACACTCAGAAAGGAATTTACCAAGATCACCAATCGTTATGATCGCTAACGGTGCGCCAAACAGTGCGAATACCACACATGCTATACGACCGTATGGCGTAACTGGTACAATATTACCATAGCCTGGTAATGACATTAATCGATAGAATATTATTATACCACACCTTTAAACTACAATTATAAAACCTCAGTTACCAATTGTGGCCATTGTGGTTGTCGCGAAAAAGAGCGCACTGCTTGCTGTCCAGAGTTTTTCGCCTTTCTCTGAACGAGTTTTTGCTCTCCTAAAGTAGCATTAGGAAATGAATACGATGCAAATATAATTTATCTTCTTCAATCAGAATGAGAATATCGCAAATAAGCTCACCAAATGTCGCCAAACAAACTATATCCACGATACTAATCATTGAACACACCATAAAAAGTACATTAATGCACTACACATTTCATCCAAGAAATATTCTGTATCTGAGAAAAATAACGGAAATATTCATTCTTCTAACCTATGCCTTTTGAACCTTCTAATCTCATCTGCACCTTCATGTTGTTGATGTTGCTGCAACTGATACTGTTGTTGTAAATCACTCGAAGACGCTTTTGTGATCCTCACATCCGGATATCTGCAAATAAACACAAAATATCCTTCTTCTGGAAGCATTCATAACATCAATTTATAATAGTAATAACAACAATTATAATAGTATTACTAATAACAATAATTAGTCAAGCAGTGAAAAATATTCACCGAACATATTCCTCTTTGAACGCCTTATAAAGATTTTCATTGAACTTTTGCAAACGTCGATCTGTGATAGTCATCCATTCTTCCATTGAAATACTACCGCTTCCACCGCCAGCATTTCCCATCATTCCAGGACGACCTTTTTCCCACATTGAACTCACCAGTTCCTTTCGTAAATCATTTATTCGAATGACACCATTTCTTTTCAACTGCAACAATAACTACTACTACTAGGAATACTGAATGTCAGGGATACATTCCAAAATATCAACATTATTAAACAATCAACGAATATCAATTGAGAAAGCCTACCCGATCTTCATGTGGTGATTCAAGACTATAGAAAATCCATGCACCAACGACTGCATACAGGCAAACAACAGCCACAAGAGCCACGTGTGGAAGGACGAGTTTTGCGTACTTAAAATGAAGTTTTTTTTGGTTGATTGACTGCTTATGGAATCACATCAATGAAATTATATCAATCAGTCGTCTCTAATGCAGTGTTTCTCACACTCGGACGTTCCATTCACCTGTTTGATGGTCTGTCAGGCCACCATGCACCCCTACCCTAACAACAACTTTCTATTTGTATGCGTCAAGTCAAAAGAAAATCGAAAATTGATTCGGAAATTCATTAGTGATGTGAGTAATGCATACTGGTGATCAGGCTCAGACGAACTACACATATTCAGAAAACAGAACGTAGTGCCATGAGTGGATCACGCTTGGCTATTCAAGTGAAAAAACACAACGACATTTCATCAGACTATAACAACTCTAGGAAATGTTAGCTTGCCGACCTCATTGATTCACCCCTATGAGGAGCAAATAAACAATAATGTGAGAACCAAATAAACAATAATAATGTTTTGAATATTATTCATTCAGCCAAAATTAGCGTTGCTGTCACACCGTTGTTGGCCAGTTAGCGAACAAACTGCTTCACTTTGTGTGCTATGATCCAACCTGAGCCAAGCCAAGTCAAGCCTAAGCCAGAAGCATGCTTTTCATAATCAAAAATTCGATGACAATCTCAGAAAGTTTTAAATACACAACTACCTCATTGTGTTCTATCCTATCCGATAAAAAGTATTTCATTCGTTCAATACTCCGCAGTATCAGGCGTCAAAAAGAGTTATTTCATTGTGCTGAACGTTTCGTCATTAATCAAACTCTATGAAAATTCGTTTTTTGATTCAATCACTTCATTATTTATTCATTTATTCGCTTATTTATTCAACCAATCACATTCTCACTTTTGCTTTCCTTTCAACTGAATTAAATCGTTATCAAATGAAGTGCATCATAAAAATTCAATAACACTATTTCAACGGGTGTTCCTATCAATCTAATCTATTTATCTTTCCAGCTGTCCGCCTAGCTCTAATGTAGTACCTCAAGGGACGACTACATCTGAACAGATATTGAAAGCTTCATTTAAATTTGAAAAATCTTTCTTCATACAACAGCAACAACAGCATCGCTAATTCAATCATTCTTATCGTTATCATCACTCAAAATGACCGTTTACATCCAAATTTTTTAATACGACTAAAATTAACCTCTCAAGTATGTACATATTTGATTGGCATAAACGTTATTCGTATATCATAAAAGAAATGTAACAACCTTTTTAAAAGAACCACTTTCAACAGGTTCCGCATTTTCAAGCAATCCTTCGATTTCTTTGAATTGATCGTCCATTAATGTCTATCGAAGGATTGCACATACAATCAAAACTTTATCGCTTATCGCACTCAACTTATCACCTCTTCAATGAATCGTTCACTTTTTCGAATGCTTGAAATTCGACGTGCAACAGCATTCACAATGCCAACCATATTCATAATATCCAATTATCAATGACAATAATTTGAATCGTAGTAATAACAACCATCCAATTTCAATTTTCACTATTCATAAACGAATCCAACTCATTCATAAATCCGATTAATTAAGTATACTCATAATTCCACACCCGAAAGTCGGATTACGAGCGTTTTGCGGTTTTACCGCTCATCTCGTCCGTTTGCTTGTTTATTCAGTTGCCCTTTTCCGCTTAATTTTGCCAATATTTATATACTCATACATTCAGACATGAATATTCTTGGCCCTGCAAAAAAACGATGTCCATTAATATAAATAATGATAATAAACAATGTAATAATAGCAATAAGCTGTATAATACACTAGATATATGATATCACTATAATGAGCATACAACATTAATCGATCATAGTTAATGTGAATGTTCATATGAGTTATTTAAAGATGTTCGTTGAATTGTTCAAGCGTAATAGTGATTGGCCTCATGAAACAATTCGGTAATGAATTGATTACAACAAAACTATTTGATAACGGATGGATGAAGTGTTTGTAAACGTAAGTATAATCAAATATCAAAAACACATACATAAACACAATTATTCGTTTCACTCATATAGAAATGAATGAAGCAATTGAGTGAGTGATAAAGTGATTAAATGGATGAATGGACGAGTGGTCGATGAAGAAACAATCAAAATAAAAAGTAAACAAATAAATAAGACGACAACTGAGGAAATGAATGAATAAATAAACGATATGCTGTGTGAGTATGCATGAAGTGGACTAAAATGGAGCTGAGCTGATTCAGTGATGATATTCGAAAGAATAAGAATGAATAAATATTCGTCCATCTAAGTACGTATAATGTGTAAGTGAGTAAAATAGAAAAGATATGAACGATTGAGAAGAAAGAAACGAACACTATTATGTAATATAAGCTGCAGTCGGCAAAACATTGAGGAATAGATTCGTAGTTATTGGTGAAATGATTAAAGAAAGCATGGGGACTGGATGGCATGATCGATTTGATTCATATCAGTTCGATTTGGGATAAATAAATGGATAGATGCCTTCCTTGCCTGGTTTTGATAAAAACGCATGGATGAAAGAATGGAAGGCTGCTTGGATGAATGGATGGATGAATAGATACATGGCTGGATGGATGGATGGACGAATGGATGGATGGATGGATGGATGGATGGAAGGCTGCTTGGATGAATGGATGGATGAATAGATACATGGCTGGATGGATGGATGGACGAATGGATGGATGGATGGATGGATGGATGGAAGGCTGCTTGGATGAATGGATGGATGAATAGATACATGGCTGGATGGATGGATGGACGAATGGATGGATGGATGGATGGATGGATGGAAGGCTGCTTGGATGAATGGATGGATGAATAGATACATGGCTGGATGGATGGATGGACGAATGGATGGATGGATGGATGGATGGATGGAAGGCTGCTTGGATGAATGGATGGATGAATAGATACATGGCTGGATGGATGGATGGACGAATGGATGGATGGATGGATGGATGGAT